CTGGAGTTGGGGTGAGTATCTGATGATGGTTTCGACTTTGGATCCGCCATCTTGCGCAATAAGGTGCTAGCACGTACTGCACATTCAAAACTGGTGTCCTCCGACTTAAAACGTGACCAAGTAAGGCACTTCCCCAAACGACACTGACTCGACGTTTCGTGTAGGTCTGTCTGAGCGTTCCTTCAACCTGTCTTCGGGAAGCCTAGTGCCATATTTCCTTGTCAAAACGCATCGCGTTAACAGTTAAGTGCTGCGGTCACCGAGCTCAGGTTGAAAGCGATATCAAAACATTGAACTAACTGTGGAAAATACACCACATAGAGATCACCGTGATTCGACAAATACGAACAGCAGCCTTGCGTCTTTTCTCCTAGAGGAGTTGGCATATCCGCAGTCGTCTCAAGTTTGATGTCAGACCCGTTTTTGACACGAGAAGCCAGCACTACAGTAGCTTTTTACCAGGACCGTCGCCATCTTGGTATTGCTGCATCATTTGTTTTACTTGTGCAGAATAAATTATGTTAATACATATCGATCATGATTGACGCACAAATTGAAAACATAACTTTTAAGGACAAATTAGTCGACGGTAAATTTTACTATTAAAAAAGACGTGTTTTATGGGGTATAAAAATGCAAAATATTTTAACGCACCTGCACATTGAATACTGTAACCTTACTGTACAGCACCCCCTTTAAAGCGACCACTGTGGTATAAGCCACAGCTGAAAAGGTATTATTGGTGGGTTGGGGCGTGCCATTAGCTGCTGCAATGGGGGAGCGTGGGATACAGAAAGGAGCCTATACATGTACATTTTATTACTAATAATGGAGTTAGATTAGCTTAATTAGTATATGTTCATTGTTGTACATTGTATATGAAAGTAGATCCGATTCCTAGAACGGTTAGAAATACCATCTATTACAACTGCAAGAATTCTGTAAGACCTCGCAGTGTGTCATATACCAGAAGCCAGTTAACGTTAAAGTTACGATTAATCTAGGAGCTTTTTGGTTTAATATACCTTGTACCTTTGGTTTAATATGCCATCATTAAATATACATTCTTCGTGAACCTACAATAAATAAAATCAAATACATGTCTGAGAGAATGAAAAATCTACAATCATCGATTCAAAGACAAAGCATCTACTGGATAGCCTGTCCCAGGCTTCGGGAAGCGGCTGAAAAAAAGAGTAGAAATTGGCAAAATAGACAGGTGACGGGTGACATGCCAGGGGATTTGGTCTGTGCAAGGAGAAAGCTTGTAGAAGCTCCATGGTCTGTGAGAGAGTGCAGTTTGCCGCTTCCCGAAGTCTGCTAGATGTTATTCCTGTGTGAGCTAGTACGGTGCTTTACCGCCAGTTTACCGCTTATGAACTTTTCCCAGTTTCGAAACACAGAGTTTCCCGCCAAACATCACCACTTTGACCAATCACAGCGCAGGGGTAACTAGTGTAGAAAAAGGTAGTAAAACATTTGGTCAGCAGAAGATTCGGGTGGGCCGGATACCTCGAACACAGAACAAACAGCGTTTAAAACGATGGTGAAGCTCTCTGTTTGGAGCCCAGCGCAGGAAATTCGGGAAGAAGTCCTGGTATAAGAGGTACGAGATCCAAACGCAATCGTCTGTATCGTCCTTATAGCCGTATGAGCCAGTTTAGTGACAACTTAGACGAGATATCTTGACGATAACAACCATGTAATTTTTTGGGGTGGGAGGGCGGTTCTAAAGTGAGACTTCATCAGTCAGACAAAACAAAGACCGACTGTTTCTTTTAGCGTCATGTGTTCTATATATTTGACTGTTGCCCCTTTCTATAACTTTATCTTCTCGTGTGTCTTTTATGTACGCCACGATGAAGCTGGTTTTGGAGAAGAATGGCGAGTATTTTTCACAAACTTGCATACCTAGCTAGATGCTTTCGACCGCCGTATCAACAGATGTTTTTAATCGCCTCTCCCAGTCCCGGAAGCATTCGAAGAGGGCCTGGCCACATAATTTTCACGTTTGCGTCATGGGTGGTGTTGACGAGTTGATCACAATTCTACAAATTTCAGACCTTTCAACGGACGACGCCAGCCCAGCCCCAAGTACCCAAGAACTCAGGACAGAATGCATTCGCCCAAACTTGTGCGCGAGAAACAGCGTGAGGCTACCACAGAAGAGCACCTTGCAATACCAAGATGAATATGCTATCAAGAGCCAGGAAGAAGGATAAGAACTCGGCCAAACTCAGTCACTCTCTCAACGAGGGCATCACTGGCAAGTATGTCAAGAAAGAAGACTCTCCCCTCCTTAGAAGTAAGTATATAATTATAAATAATCAAGCCCTGTTGCTTACATGTTTGCCATTATGTCATTCAAAAGCTATGGTTTCACTTGTCCAACTATTTGCCCTCAGTATTTACTGTCACTATGTTTATCGGAGGCTGTGTTTGGGAAGGGCATGGGAAGTTGTTGAGATTCCAATCTAAACTATTGATAGCAGGACAAGCCCCACAGTATGCAGGGGACTTTCTTGGATTTTTTTAATGACCTCATGATCACATCACATGACTTTTGTTAGGTTAAACATACCCAAAAGCTTTAACTTGTGACATGGATCTTGGAATGGTGGCGCAAAGCTGTAAGTTCGACTCACATGTAAAGATAAAGCCACAACATTACAGTGATAGTAAATAACAACAAAAGTATCTCATTCTGTTGAGTCAAATGAGTCTGCAAACCATGTCATCAGCTATCAAAGGTCAATCCGTAAATAAATGTGACTTCACCATTCTGGGACCTTGCATCTGGTAATGCAGTTAGCTTGGCCATTCAACAAATTTGTATTTCACTACAACACAGTTCAGCAGAGAAAAGAAATCTGTTCTTGTCAGAAAGACTATAACGAATCTACTAATGTACCACTTGTTATCAGTGACTGTTATTTTGCCAATCATATATGTACTACAGTAGTACAAATATAACTTATGTAACATTAACAGGTATAGGTTACAGGTAGTACATGTGTTACCTGGTACTGGCAAAATTTGTCAATTTACTGTGATGTCACATGTCATTACTGGCATACGATAAAGACGGTATGTTTTAAAATGAACGGATGTCATCTAAGGTGCCATTACGGGAGACAATGCGTTCTACTTCTCCAGTCATCTCTGTCTTCCGTCAGGGAGCGCAGTTCTTGTGTGGAGATGTCCCTGATCCCAGTGTCTCGCTTCAGAGTGTCAATGAAGGTTGTGCTTCTCCTACCCCTTCTCCTCCTTCCTTTTGCTGGCTCCCACAGTCCCACAGGATAAACTGGCTGGCTAACAGCTCAGGATGTCGGATACTGTGTCCAGCTAGCTCCATTCTCCGCCTCCTGATCATTTCAGAGATTCTGGGTAGATCACAGTATAGCACAGGGTTTGTTTAAAATAAAAGATATACCAGTCCTGTTCATTTCTTACAGATTACATGTCCCCCGTGGTACGCTATGGCCCCACCTTCCCTCGGAGATCAGAGTCCCTCAGTCAGATCCACAGTCAGCAGGGTTCCGCCTCGGAGGAGGGGAGAAGTCCGGACACCAGGGCGGCCTCCCTGCCCAGGTTCCACCAGAGAAGCTACAGTAACCAGTCCAGTGTCAGCGACTATTCAACCCATGGACACAGCTTCTCACAGGTAGTACACAGACTGCATGGGTCTATCTTTACTGCAAAATGAGTATTTTCTTTTCTTTTGTCTTCATTGTATCATTTTGGATTCATCATAAGTTGTAACACAATTCATAAGGTTAGGAACAGTAGAAAAGTTCTAGTTTTAATAACTGTTATCATCATTGATCATCAGTTGATCAACGTTTATCGTCATTAATCATCATTGATCATTCATCAACTTTTGATCATCAGTTGATCATCATTGATCATAATGATTTGTACTTCATTACCTTTCCCTACCATGGGATCATCCATTATCCATGTACGGTGATGATGTACCCTGAGTCGTGTCTGTATTGCCTCAGAACTCAGCAGAAAGAGGGTTATTAAGTTATCGTTAGGCCACACCAATTTAATTTCTTAGTTAACGGATTTTTCTAGAAAAATAATGGAGCGGGCGGGCGAAAAACAAATAAAAATAAAAACAAGCCTAGGCATCGTATTATGGCCCAAAATGGTACGATAGAAGCCATGAAGTCAACACACCAGGCTGGTTCAAAATTTACAATGAATTTTGAACTTTTAATGATACCATTGCATTGAAAGATGGAATAACTTTAACAACTAGGATGAAAAGGACTGTTTTCAACTGTTCAGGGCAAAATATGAGCATTTTGCAGTTGATTCTAAATTTTTATTTTTATTTGCAAATCAGAAAAAAATGAAGCGGCAAATCCGTTAACCAAGAAATTAAATTGGTGTGGCCTTATGGCACAATACATGTTTATCAAACATCAGTTTCTAGTCTATATCTGTAGAGATTGTCCTGACTGTTTTATGTGTTGAACCCTTCAGGTGACACCTGAGTACAACCCCGGAGCGAGGACAGGGTCCCTGCTACTGGACTATCACACTGTGTCTGAGAACGTTAATGGAGAGGTAGCAGCTGCTGCAGGGGCCATGCCTACTGTCCAGGAAAATTATGAAGGTAGCTTAGTTACTACAGTGTATTCTTTCCTTATAGTATTATAAATTTGACAACAAAGGGACAAACATAGTACAAAACATGTATATGGAACTTTGGAAGTAAAGATTATGTTTGTGAAGCTCAGAAAGTCATTCTACTCCATAGCCCAAAGAATGCCAGACTAGATAGAAAGAAAAATATGTACTATTCATGAGTACTATTTGTGTATACTGGCCGACCTAGCTTAACGCACTCTCCTGCTGTCAGGTACTGATGGCCTCCCTCCAAGACAAAGACTTATTTTAATTAGTAGTCAGGTGGGCTACTAGAAGCATACTTTTCAGTCAGGCAACTTGCTAGCCTGACTGCCAAGTTACCTGTATATCAACACTAAAATCATTACATCATTGCCTCTGTACTCCCAGGCCAGGGCTATAGTGATGAGTACTACAACCCCATGTACCAGCACTCCTCGGTGGCCAGTTTACCAGTACACAGCAGCGGGCTGACTTCATACCAGGGTAGATCACCAGCTGGGTCTGCGTCGCCAATAGGATCTGTAGGTAGGGGCCTCCTCAGGTTCCAAGTCAAGTGATGTAGATTTATTTGAGCACCTGCCTGAACTTGCCTGGCACCTACCTCTACTTTTAAAAGTACACAGAAAGATATTTTCAGAATAGTCCTGTGGCAAAGTTTTCAGCTTCACCTACGTTAGGAAGTTTTAATTTTAATGTCATGGATTACTTTACAATCCTCTCTTTCCAATGATTTTTAGTAGTAGTGATTGGTTTATTGAAAAGAGCAAAGAACATATCAGACTTGCAGTAAAAACTGAATTGTGCTGATATTTACAACTTATAGGATTATACAATACTAATAGATATAAAAGGGCAACTTACACTTTTATTATACTAAATTTATAAAAACCATCGTCGTCGTCATATTATTATAGCAATATGATTAAAACAATATAATTTCTCTTGAGTATAAAATCACTACTGTCGTTCTACATTAAAATGGCTGAAAGTCTTTGACGTTTTAAAAGTCTGGTACGAGCGCTAAGGATATGTACAGTTGGCGGTAAGAATTCGGTTGACACAATAAACAATCAATAGTACTGAGATTAGAGTTGAGATTAGGATGATTTTTGCATCATCACCATCTACTGCTTTTCTGCTCCAACAATTTTTTTATGTACAAATGTATCTGTGTTTTACAAGCAAATAATTTTTTTTTAATATGTTGAGCTGCTGTTTGACAAACATGAAAAACATGGTTTAGGAATTAACTTATTGATTTTACTTGTATGTGATTTTCTAATGTTTCCCTTTCAGGCAATGTCTCATCCACAGATGAGCTTCCTCTCCCAACTGGATGGACAGCAGATTACACGTTACGAGGCAGAAAATACTACATAGAGTAAGTCCACCAGTTAGTCACTAATGTCACTAATGCTACTAGCTTAGTGTATATTATTGCAACATTTGTAACATGTCCCTTTAGCCTAAATGTTATTCTTACTTAGCAACAACTGTGCTCCAGTGTTGTCTTCAAATATGTACAAATATGAAAATTTGAAAAGTTGGGAGAAATAGGATCTAAATATTTTACTGTATGACTCCTTGAAAAAAGGCACAGACTGGAAATTGCATTTTAAACTTGCTTCATATTTAAGGTTTGAATGTTGTTTTTTTTCAGTCACAACACCCAGACTACACACTGGAGCCACCCTTTGGAAAAGGAGGGCCTCCCTGCCGGCTGGGAAAAAGTAGAGTCTGCAGAATATGGTGTCTACTATGTGGAGTAAGTTATGACTTCTTGGTGTTGTTGACATTCCCTTTGTTTGATAACATCAAAGACAGCCCTGTAGTCTAAAATTTGTTCCCATATAAGATTGTGGAATTTTGGGAATGCCATAATCTATCAATGTCAGTGATGTGAGTGCAAAGGTAAGAATGTAAATATGTAAGAATGCAAATCAAAAAGATCATAGAAAAGTAGCTTGATATCCAAACCTTTTATAGCTGCCAGATTTCTTTCGTTCTCTCTGCAAACTGACGAAAGAGACTTGGCAGATATTATTAATAGGTTTGAATAACAGGCCAATAGAAAAGTACTGTTATCACGCCTTTGTTAAGTTTGATCACGATTTATATCAAGCAGACATTACAAGTCAAATGTTTACTGTTGGTCTATTCTACAGCCACAACACAAAGCGTGCCCAGTACAGACACCCTTGTGCTCCCAGGTTCCCTAAGTACGACCCTCCCCCTCCCCTCCCACCCTCCGCCTACCTAGCCATGCAGACATCTCAGGCAATAGCTGGAGAGATGGAGGCGGCTGGCATGCAGGTCCCCCCAAGTCCGTACATGAACTCAGGTAGGTTACTTTAGTATTCATAGCCTCCACCAGGCCCTCCTACGGAGGTACAGATCGTAGAATTTGACAAAAAAAAAGAAAAATAACTGGCCAGCAGAATCAGTCTGCGAGAGGGTCTAGTTCAAAAGTGAACCATACGGTGGCCGAATTCCCCTGGCCAATTATTCTCCCCATTTGGCTAGATTATATTGTTTTTGAACCTGCATAATTAGTCTGGTGGAGACTAGGTTATTAAGATAGGAAATTCCATCAGTTAGCAAATTATGTAGGTGTATTTAGAGGTCTAGATGTCTTGTTGGTATCTCTACTATTGGGTATTCGTATATTGTACTTATGCCTATGCGTTCATTACTTTTTTTCACCAGAAATTCCAGAATGGTTGCAGGTGTACACAAAAGCTCCTCATGAGTATGATCACAAACTAAAGGTGAGTTTCTGCTTTTGTGTTTTGTGTGCGATGTGGGGGATTTTGAATTGTGTTGCTGCTGTTAATCAAATAGCGGTGACTAAATTTATGGAACCTTGCGGAGAGAGTGGGCGATACAGCTCTCCTTCTGTTACAATGCCCTTCTCCAGGAAAGGAAAACAAGCACTGCCCCCTAGAAGTCTGTGTGGGAGGCTAACATTTTCAAGTACCATGCAACAAAAGTGGCTTGGTAGTAGCAGTAGTATCCAGTCTTTGATTAGCTGTTTTGGGATCCCTCACACAAGGGTAGACAGCAGTTGGCAAGTCTTCACACTGTGTTTCCAAGCAACTCTAGCAGGTCCACACTGGTAGAGTCCATTCCAAGTCACCGTGCGGATGTTTTAACTGCATTTGTAATAGTTTCGATTTTTTTCCAAATTGTTCTAAGGCTGCACTCTCTAATATCTTTTAATTGTGAAAGAGAAGTTACTGTTTGAAACCCACCAACTGCCCTGTTTGCAGTGGGACCTGTTCAAGCTGCCTGAGCTGGACTGTTACCAGGAGATGCTGATGAGGCTGTACAGGAAGGAGCTGGAGGTGGTGGTCATGAGCTATGAGGGGTACAGACAGGCCCTGCAGCAGGAGACAGAGAGGAGGCAGAGGGAGATGGAGAAGGACCGCAACAAGGCACAGGCACTCGCACAGAACATAGAGACTAAAGTCTGATGCAACAAGGCACAGGCACTCGCACAGAACATAGAGACTAAAGTCTGATGCAACAAGACACAGGCACTCGCACAGAACATAGAGACTAAAGTCTGATGCAACAAGACACAGGCACTCGCAAAGAACATAGAGACTAAAGTCTGATGCAACAAGACACAGGCACTCGCACAGCTGGAAGTAGGATTCTTTACAGTTTGATGTTCAATACCTTCAAAGGAAAAAAAAGGCTGAGGCCTGCAGATCCCTGGGAAATTCAATCTTGGTGTAGACGATCACAAGACGATACACAACATGTGAAGATGGTCTCATTGTAATCAATAGTACAACTACAAGGACCAAGTGGTGACTTCTACAACAACTGCAACTTCTTCTGGTGAAGCGAAATTGCAAATATGACCTCCTCGTTCCACATAGTATATGAATTCAAGTTGAAATGGACTTGATTATGTGGTGCTGAACTGAAGCAATTAGTTATAAATTGGTTACCAGAGCTATGTAATAGCAAAGTACAGAGTGGTGTGATGAAGTAGCCTTGGTAGGAAAGCACTTCTTGCAAGCTACTGTTATATCCTGGCAGCAATGCACATCTGGGGGTGGCAAGCACAGACAGGGAAACTTTGTTTGATCCAGATCAAGTAGCATCCAGAAGAGGTAGGAAACTTTAAACATGCTTCAGTTTTGTTCCTGAGTATTCAAAACAGTGTTTTGGATTCAACGAATCAATCATTTTGCAGTGGCTGCAGGAAGTCAAACTCAATGCCATCAAATGGCAGAAAATTCATTTTCGTCCCTATACGAAACAGTTACAGTAGGACAATGTACTGTAGAGCTCTGACAGTGCTGCTGAAGGTGCAACTTTTGTACCATGTTAAGATGAGTGTAGATTCTGTAAGGGGCATTGCAATGTGTGGCCTAAAGGCTGAATAACGTAGGCTGTAAGTAACATAGGGAAAAAGCCATGAATTGCTTTTAACTGATTGTTTTAGTTTACTTAGCGTTTTACCTGAAGTTAGAAGATATACATCATTGCTTCTGGTTAACCAATTCTGAACCCTATTGAAGTGTGAACAATTACAGATGTAGCTTACACAATGTTTTTAGGTTGTAAGATCAGATGTCTGGGTGACCTGTCACTGGGGTTGTCCCTTTGCTGTCATTCAACAATTACTGTAATACATAATGATAAATGTTATCATTTCTTGATAAATTGAGGTAGCCAAAAGCTGAGGCTTGGCATTTTAGCCTGAATTAAGCCAGTGCTTTTTTTTTAGCATAGAAAGATTGAAATGTTGACTACATGATGATCAATCAAATTTGCCAATCATTCAATGTAAGGAAGGCATGTGTACTAAACTCGATTCCCATGAATTTAGCTCTAGGGAGTCAGGCATTTCCTGACAATGTACATTCCATCATGGTGCTTTCACTGGAATGTATTTTAGCATGTTCATTCTAGCTTTGTGCACTCGTACCTGTGTATGTTGTGAATACAATTGTACCTATTGTGACTATAAGAATTCATAATTCAGGCACCTGTTTTGTACTGCTAGTAGACTTAAAAAGCTTGTAGTGGTAGAGATATTTATGGAATTAGAATCTTGAGATCGTGTAGAGGTAGTACAATAGGAAATTAATGTTGCTTTCATTAGCAACAAACACATTGAATCATGCATATTTTATTAGAGCTATTTATGGAACATCATAGGAGGTAAATTATTCATATTTATGTCAATAGCCCACCGTTATAATGTATGTAATTGTGAATAATACTGTTTATAGTTGCTGTGAATTCTTATTGTGAATTAACATGTATTCTAATTCCAACTTCTTTGAAGCTGAATCTTGTCTCCCCACAGAACTACTTGTACTTGTGTTCCCTTTGCCTGAGTTTTTGTACTTAGTCTACAACGTACTAAATGAAACTGCTTCAGTTTTCATTTCAAACCAAGGAGCCAGGAGTATCATGCACAGTTCACCTCAGTTTAAAGGGCTTTACCAGGAATGGAAACTGGATGAAATGTAATTATGCTGTGAAAATTGGACGTTGCTGGCACCTACATTTCCTGAGGTACATGTTTTTTTGTAGAGATGTGTACGTTGTGTGTTGTTTAAAGTTGGTTAATTTACCTCTGTCTCCTTAGACACGTCAAACTGAAATGTGGAATAAACAATACCACCATCGTTTTTGATAACCATGTATCAGTGTTTTTTTCTTCCATAGAAGCCAGACAATTTATCTTTGCTGACAACAAGGCATTTTTATTTACAAACTTACAACATTCATATACTTTGCGGCAAGTATCTGTAATGTTCCACAACATTTTTGTACATGTATTTACAAGTTCTATGGCTAATAGCTGCCATATATGTATATCCTCCAGCTACTAAGTAGGGAATTTATATGCCTCACAAACATGGCTTCATATATATTTCCTGATCCCAACACTTGATGGTTTGTGCTTGCCCAATGTTCTACCAACAGAATGTAAGTATATTTGCATCAATGTTTTAACATAGCATTTAGTTGCCGATGTAACTCTAAAAGTTGTCAAATGAGATTTTGAGACTGCTTTTTGTGAAAGTAGAAAAATGGTACCTTCTCTGGTTTTGCACTTGGCACAGAAATGTCACCTTTAACCAATTGATACAATGGTGGAGGTAAACACAATGCATGTACCAGTGAACTTCTATCAAGGTTCATATTTCAGTTCAGACAAGTATTTGATTCATACATGTCTCTGCCCCTTGCTATCCTCTGCATTTAGAAGCCACATTTTCAGGTCAAAATGTCTCGACTATTTTTTCATGGCGAATGCACTGAGTGCCATTTCCACCGGATGATCCCCCATCTTCTTCTTCATCATGAGTTTCTCCTGGATGGTTTCCAACGCCCGAGACTTCCCTGCGTGCCACTTCAGCGCGGCCAGAGACTTGGGAGGATCCTTTGCGGTGTGCTGAGGCGACCTGGTAGGGGACTTGACTTTCTTGGCCTTCTCAGGCTCCGGTTTATGCACAACCTGCAACTCCTTTGGCACCTCTATTGTCTTGGCAAGTTCCTCTACAGCTATTCTTTCCAAGATGCTGTCCTGTGGTGCATACATGTAGATTGGTAAGTCGATTAGTCTCATGCAAACCAAGATATGACAATGTTACATTCTTTTTTTTTTACTGAATCAAGAGATGATAGTATGTACTCTCAACTTTGTAGCAATGGTATGCAAGTTGAATTCTAGTAATATATGAAGCAATGGTGCATTAAACTTTATTTATTTATCCAATGTATGTCTCAGATCTAAGAATCTGCAAAGATGATGGGCAAAGCAGAACCAACTTTACTGAAATGACCATATCGCTGATAATCAACAGATATGCTGCCAGATACTAGTAAGTATGCTGTACTACCTCAGATATAGTGCCTGGCTTAGCAGGGAGAATCCACTAGTGATTCTATTGTAGAAACCTGTCAGTAGAGACAGAAGCTCAGGATCTTACCTTGATCATCTGTAGTTTCTGCAGGTAGGACAACTCGTCCAAGGGAGTCGTCCGTCTTTTCAAGCACTTCTCTGATATGTTGTCCACTGCAAGCAGGATCTGGGCCAGGTCAGTGCTCTGGAAACACAGATTGTTTGAATCATTAGAAAATGAATGGTTTCCATTCTTATTGACTTGACATGACTTGGCTCATAACTTGATTTTAAAAATTTATTTACTTGTATCTTTTTTTGGCTCATTACAAAGCTCTTGCTGTCAGTTGATTCAAGAATTGAATGCACAAGTCAAGGTCATGTGATGATAAAAGGATGTCAAGGAGGTCATGTGATGAAAAAAACATGCTGAATACAGCGACTGCAATTTAACTTGTAAACTTGGGGGTCCCCTACATCATAAGATGAAAATGTAATGCACAAGAACAGGTGGCTCCTTACCTGTACAACGTAATCCTTGCTCTTTGCCTGTAGGTCCTGTTCCATTTTCTTGTTCATATCCATGGTTTTCTCCTGTGTGGCTTGTAGCTCCGACAAGTCTTTGTTGATTTGCTGTGGTCAAAAGGAAAAGAAGTGTTATGATCTACTTGTAACAGCACTAGTGTTCAACAACAATAACAATTTATTACAGTAATACTAGCAATGCATTTACTATAGGCTCTATGTATTTCAATACAAAGTGCACCTTGTCATACCAATGACAGAGAGATTCTCACTCACCACTTTCTTGTGTTCATGTTCATGCTTGAGCCTCTGCAGTCTCTGGTTTCCCTCTTCACTCTTTAAAAATAGAAAGAAGGTAATATGTTGACAATGAATAAGTTATTTTAAGCATTTCTTATCTGGTAAAACATTTTTTTTCAAGCACCCTGTGGAATAGGATTGCTGTGTTTGCCACTGGCAATCGGCTAAATTTATCACTCTAAAGGCTTCACCTCCCAGTGGACCCCTCAGAAGAAACATTAAATCTGATAGCGCTATCTAGTCAACTGAAAGGTTACTAGAGTCTATCAATTGATTAATGGGTTGACCTGTCCTTTGTTAATGGCTTCTTTGGTTTGTTGTTTAATAATTGATTGAAAGGGTATAATTAATTCATCCTGCTATTATGAGATTCACCCAGTCCTGCCCTTCTCAACATTATCTGAGAGAAAATTGAGTTAGGCACTTTATGACTTGGTTACAGTATTAGCTGTTATTTCAATTACAGATAATTATTTGGAAATTACATGAATGTGATTTTATGAACAGAGAAAACGTATGTGCAAAATCAAGAATTCATGCCAGACATTAAAAAAAAACAGAACATCTGGCAAGTGCAAAGATATGTTTCTGTAGCCTTTGGGGCCACACAGTTCTGCAATCACTACAGCAGGGGGCTAGTTCACTGGTAGTGGTGTGTGTTATACTCCCATTCCAATGATGAGTTCTAACCAGAGAAATCAGTATGTACCATTTTTAAAGACTTTGGTATGACTCTGCCAGGGATTGAACTCATGACCTACTGAATACAAATCATTGAACACTCCATCCACTTGGCCATTGCACCAGTTTAATAATGATACATACCTGGTCCATAAGCCTGCTGACCCGCCTGGACAGGTCCATGTTGGTGTTGTGGAGGGTGTCGTACCTCATCATGGTGGCATTGATCATAGAGTCTCCCACCTCCAGGTAGCCTGGGAATTTTAATTTCAATTCTGTTATTGAATCAACTGATACCTGACAATACATACACCTGAATTATGTTGATTCTTACATACAGTTACACCAAAATCTAAATGAAAGATCTATTTTGCTAGTCTCAATTTATAAATTCAGTTGTTCTATTTCAAAGTGTATTCTTTGTATTACATTTAATTCAGCAGAAGTGTTAGTCTGCCAGAAAAAGAATTACATTGTACTTTGGATAACAACCTAGTGATGAGGGTATGTGAAATTCAGTAAGGAAGAACAAATTAAAGCTTTTCAAGCAGTTCCTCACCTTCTGGCATGTTGTCGATCACTCTCAGTAAGTAGGCCTCAAACTTCTTATACTGCTGCAGTCTGTTCTGGAGTTTGTTGTGTCTGAAAACATTCCAAATGGTATTGAAGGTGAACCTTGAAACTTCATGAGAGGAAATCAGAGAGGCTTAGCTGTCTTAATTACACAGCAGGACAGCCCATATTGTGATGATATTGTTGCATTTTCCTGAACAACTGCAAGAAGTCCCATTATACAACGGTTGAATACCATGCACGATTTATGAACAAAGATCTTAACTCAAAATGATAATGTCTTCCCAACCATTTTTTTTTTCTGCCAGGCTGCCAGAAACATTGAAATTTCATAGAAAATCAGATAGTTTGTAGTGACTTAACAATTATACTGCACAATGGTCTGGATAAAGTCTCAAAGTTTTGTAATAACTTTGGTATCACTGTGATAACGGTTCATGTTTCCTGGACAGCAAGAAGTCCAATTGAATGATAATATAATATGTACAGTAACAGTATTAGTATTAACAAAGTTCTGCCCACCTGATTTTCAGCTGTTCCAGCTGCTCCTCCAGCATCTGCTGTTCGTTGGCCTTCTGTTCGTTCAGCTTCAGCTCCGTCTGGTACTTCTGGATGGCTCGCCTCCGCTTGGCGTCGTTCTCCGTGATGAACTTCTCAAACTTCTGGACCCGGTCCTTGATCTAGTGGGACATGGAAGATCAAGCTTTAAGGTTGTGTAAGGTTCCTGTGGGTTATGCTTTGCAGTACAGGTAATGGCATTCTGAGTGGAGTGCATGGATCTATTTCTATTTTTTTTTATCTTGAGTTCATCTGCATTCAATTTGGTAGAAGTACAGACTTTCTAATGATCCACTGCTCACCAATGTGTCATCTGCATAATGTGATGTCACAGAAGCAGTGGATTGCTCATTCCTTGACGAAGACTGGGGTTGTACAGTCTAAAATTTGGGTCCAATTTCTTGTGTTAGAAATTACAATTTTTAATCGCTTCATAATGCTCTTTTTGTTATTACCTGCTGCAGCAATGTCACTTGCCATCATGCCATATACAATGTATAAACTACCGGTACTGCTCTGATTCTAAAAGGAAGGCAGCATTGGACCAGGACTCCGCATCAACCCCAGAAAGTGACATGTCAGTTGACTTGAACACCTTTTGTCAGTGACTGTCAGTGCAGACAAGGTGTTCCAAACAGAAACTCTATATCAGGCACCCGAAGCACCAGATGTAACCACAACAAATGGACATCAGCACAGCGTTTGTATAGCCGGCAAGCACCAGCCCACAGGACGGTGGTAGACTACCAATGCACAGGTAGATTCGATTACGTGTTCGATGGATTATTCTCCTCTGGGTTAAAGGGACGTTCTCCGCTGACACCAGAATCTGGTGACAGATGAACGCCGCCTGCCACATCCATGACTTGCCACGAATGAAATGATTAATGGATCATTGTGTAAATCCATTCCACTGATGCAACATTCAATACCAAGTGGCTATTCTGCCGACGTCACTTGATCCTATCACAGGTCTTGATGTTACATGTCATTGTAAAATAGACCACCAGTGAATTGTATATAAAGAAACAAGTCTCTTTCGATTTCCTGGTAGCATTTCACTTCAAGTTTGATAGTCTTTTACTGTTACAAGACTAGTCTGATTTGGACTTCTCAAGTTTGCAAGTTTGCATTGCTACATACATGTAACAATTGCAAGTTGTCACAAAGTACTGTATGTGACAGTGCAACGTTACAGGAAGGGTCAAACCCATTGGACCCTATCCTGCACTGCACAATGGGTGCTCCATATAAATGCAAGGGTAACACTCCAAGTGAATTTGTAGTTACACTCAAAACTGAAGTTTAGGTGTTGGCTTATTTTTGACACATTTCTATGCCTTTTATCAGGCTTTCTTTTTTGTACCTCTACCTTTTTTATGCTAGCCAAATAGGTGGCCAATGGATACTGCCTGCCAATTTGATAGAAAAGATCTGCTTGGAGGTTAAGGGCCACTTCACATGGGGCAAAAAAATCAGTTGTCACATGACAAATGACGCACCGATTTTCGCGTGGCACCTCCAAGATGCGCCACACATGGTGCCACACAGCAGTGGCAGGCCTGGTTACACGGTCAAAAACATAGCTTACGCTGTGAGGTGGCACGTGTCAATCGTTGTATGATAAATGATCTTTCGCCCTGTGTAACTCGGCCCTTAAAGTTATGCCCACCTTCTGCTGCTTGTTCTGCAGCTCCAGCTGCCGCTGCTTGCACGCCTCCATCCGCTTGTGGAACTCCGCCCGCTTGGCGCTGAGCTCCTCGTCCACTCGCTCCACCTCAACCTCCTTCTTCAGCAGCAGGGTCTTCTGCAGGGTTCGGAACCCGTTCTCCAGGAGTCGCCCTGCAGACTGCAGGTTCAATATAGAGTGGTGTGTTAGATGCTAATGGCAGGGCTCGAAATACTGGGTGCATGTGCACCTTAGTGCACCCAAATTTGGAGCTGTGCACCCAATTTTTTTCCGTGGGTGCACCAGTGCACCCAAATATTTTCGTAGGTTTACATAATGTTGAATGTATAGTAGTATACAGCATATTAACATCTTAACATCTAAGTGTCAGAAAAATAATAAAATGATTGTAATAGTACCTTTCTTTTAGTTTTGGATGACATTTTAATTATTCTATTCTATATGGTGCATCAAAAACATTTTCTGTGCCCCCAATTTTTTAGGTTGGGTACACCAGTGCACCTATTCCCCAAAATGAATTTTGAGCCCTGCCTGGGAAAGGCACTTCACACTAGCCTATACCAGGCTCCGGGATGCGGCTGGAAAGAGGAGAAATTGGCCAAATAGAGAGATGCTAGCTCACCAGCTAGTGGACCAACTCCTCTGGCATGTTACATGTATCTGATCTCTATGTGGCCAATTTCTACTCTTTTCAGCAACACACTGCACCTACGGCCTCTTAACGGTACTACGGAATGATGGGACTACATGTACTTTAAATGGGGTAAAACGACTAAGAAACAGACCCTTAGAACTTCATCCAATATTGCAGGAAAGAAACTGACATAGAACTTCATCCAATATTGCAGGAAAGAAACTGACATTAGCACTTTATCAAAATATGGCAGGTATGATTTTTTTTTAAATCCTCCCTTGCTCACTGCAAGGCCACAGTGTTAGCACAAAGGTTATCACCAACCTGCATATACATAATGGCTTACACATTTGAAGATAGGGCCAATCATTCTCAGATCACTCACTACCCAACTCCCAACTGTCCCTTAAAATCAATCCAAAGAAAATTGCCAAAGAATTTACTCACCTCCTTGACGACTGGATACTTGTGGATGTCATCTTCCAGCTCTTCATCTTCCCTGAAAACAGAGGTGAAATATTGAATGAAAGATCTTTATTGTACCTTTAAGCTAGCCTCTACCAGGCTTCAAGAGGCAGCTGGAAAGAGTAGAAATTGGCCAAATAGAGAGATAACATGCCAGGGGAGTTGGTCTGCTAAAGAGTGCATTTTGCCAACAGACCAACTCCACCACCAATTTCTACTCTTTCCATCCGCCTCCCAAAGTTTGGTAGAGGCTAGCTTTAAGCTCTTACAAGCTAAAGTACAGGTCATTGCAATAAAGCAGATGAGGTAAAATTACAGTGAAATCTTACTACTGCTATACAGACTATGTGTATACAACTATTAAAAATGTACAGGAGCAACTTCTTGCTTCAACTTAAGGCAGTTGTAGATGCATGAACTCATGCTGCGTTGCCCTTCCCTCAGCAGCGTAGCATTCATTATTCAGTATTAAACAGCAGTAAATGTCTCATCGAGGTCTGATAGATGTGCAGTTTGACTCCTGGCTGACCTCAGACCTTAATCTGAATGTAAAGGACTTAACGTGTGTTATCTGCTGCAGGCTATGATAAAGAGTATCCGATTTTGGAGCTTAGGAGAGAAGCTGAAGGGTTGGTGTTAAGTTGCCGCTCATGTGTCAACCTCGTGATGGTTTTTGTGTATCCAAGGAGGTTATAAAGATATAGATATCTTAAGGTTTTCTTACTGGCTAATTTGGCATTTTATTAAACTTTCCAGCATTTTGTCACAAAGAAATTTAGGAAGAACTTTAGTTGTACTAAAAGGGTTATGAATATGATTTTATGGACCATATGGATGACATCATCATATTTTATTGCCCCAAATATAATTATTTTGAAAGTCATAATACAGTACTTTCTTTGGTACAAATAACTGCAATAAAAGTATGATTTTCATGTGCATAATGGTCAAAGCTACATATGTATGTTTTTTACTACAAATGTACGTTTTCACAAATTGATATCTACTAATTACCCATTAATTATTAGAGAATAACCAGCTTTCCTTAACCTCCCTGGTGAATCTAAGGAGGTTCTTGAAAACAAGTCATGCTAAATATGTCAACAAGTTACAGTCGGTGTAGTTGTGATCACGATTCACAGGGGAAATATATATTATACAGAAAAGTACTTAAGGTTATGTTGTGATGGTGAATTTCTCCAAATCTCAAAGAAAAGGATATATATTAAAGAAGTGGAGGAATCATGATGATTCTGGGTTCAAACTTAAGGCAGTTACTGTAATGGATCAGTTGTTATGAATGATTTGTGAATTTCTCCAAATCTCAAAGACTCAAGGATATACATGAAGTAGAGGATATTATGATGATTCTGGGTTCAAAATTAAGGCGGTTAGTAGCCGGTTACTGTAATGGTTGAGTTGATGTGCGTTCAGTTTCAACACTTTTGATTTTGACTTGTTCAACTCCTTGTTTTGAAATCATGTAGTCTGATTTGACACCTAATAATAGCATATGAATGGGCAAACAACCTGCAGTTGTCTGACGTAAAGGACCCTTGCTTATAGGCGCTGTCCAAACTGTTTACGGTAACTCGGGGACCTACTTCCTGTCCCCAGAGCTCACAAACGTCGCACGATGAATAAACCAAAATGTAAAGCGGGATTTATGTGGAAGCTACACTACAATAGGACAACAATGACGGGGTTTGATTAATCGTAAGGACGTCGTTTTAGGAAATAAACGCACAGGATTAGCAGCCATAGCCACTCGGGAATGGCAAGAAAATCCGTGGTTTGTAGAAGGCCGTTATCACCACAAGCTACAAACTCGCTCTTTATAGCGAATACTCCCTTCTGACCGTTACTAAACCGATCTTTTTCACTAGGGAAACCTGCACAGATTTCACAAAATCGTGTAGATGTGACCAAAGGGGCGAGAAGCTTGTGGTTTTATCAACGTTAGCACCAAGTGCGAGTCCCAGGCATGTCGGAGGGAAACCGATCCGTCTGTTGTCTTTGTACGGACCGCCCTCGACCACCGACTAAACTGGTGATTAACATCCACTTACCTTTCTCCAAGCTGTGTGACGAACACGTTTCTCTTGGGCTGTTCCAGGTTTAGACGAAAGGGGTTCGCCATGATCGCACCCAAGGTTTTCCCCTACACTGTAATGGGCGTGAGTGAAGCCAGGGCCGCCTGAAAAGTTTTGTGTTTGCCCCTGAGTTGTGATTAGCATATGAAACGATTACCTCCCATAACAACCAGTGTTTACCTGTAGCCCCGGCGGACCACGTGACGCGGTTCAGGTGACACCATTGTGCCAGGAGGTAGGCAAACACACCTGTACAAAGTCGAGACAAAACTTCTGGAGAACGGTTGCCTCAAGGATATGTGAAGTACAACGACAAACTCCCGGTTCCTGTTTTGTCTTCTGAGTCACTTTGTTACTCTTCCCCCGTTAAAATCTTTCGAATTAACTCGTATAATGAACAAGAGTTCCGAGATCTCATGTCCATGAAATATGGGTTTGATATGTTAAGGTAAAGTTCTTCCTTAATTATGCAAATGGCATCTACATTAACATAATATATGCATCGTGGTGTTAACTTTTGATTAAGTTACACATGTCCCAAGTATGAAATTTAAAAGTCAAAATCATAGCATGTCCAGGACAAAAGATACAAAAACCGGAAATTCTGCTTCAGTACCAAGGTCAGCCACCAGGAGACCCTAAATCGACCTTGACATTTGCCTACCCAACACCTACCCACATACCAAATAACATTACAATCCACCTACAGGTTCAAAAGTTATGCTGGCCGCAAATGTGCGGAAACACACACACACAGACAGATACACAGACAGACAGACACGCCAAAAACAATACCTCCATTTTTCATGGAGGTAATGACAGACAAGAAAGACAGGTAACGTTGGAAAGTTCGCTGCCAAGTATATTTAATAACCTTGGTTATCCAGTCCTCATCTCTGAATGATAAAAAGAAATTAAAGGCTTTGTTCTAAAGTCATGGACTGAAGAAGGGTAAATTTAATAAGGGCATTGTCCATTGTTGCTGAGGTGAGACCGACCAGCGGATCAGGGATTGGGCTGTTTAGCGCTGTTCTGGAAATAGTTTAAGCAAGAAGGCTTAAAATCTAGATTTTTAACCTCCTTGGTCGGAGTAATGTGAAAAATAGTGAATCTTTTTTTTTCATATTCCAACATTTAATAACTAGACATGGTGGCGGCACACTCAAGATATGTCAACTTATTTTAAGCCGCCACCAACGCAGAGGGCAAATACAGGACAAGACAATAATCATTTTCACTTGAGTTAAGTGAGGAAATAAATAAAAGTCGTGTAAAGTACCTTTCCCAAGGGCACAAGATCGGTGGCAGGACTCTAACCCGGGACCTCTTGGTTCTGAGTGGAGCACGCTGCCGCTACGCCACCGACCCCACTTGGCGAATTCCCCTTCCATTAACACGTCACCTGTTATACTAAGTACAGTCTTTAAATTACCACTGTCTCACTGTGACTATGCCGTACGTCTTACAAATATAACTTATGATATGTCAGCTACCTGATGTATTGGTATTCAGATGAAATTACAAAAAGACGTTACGGTGTCATATATCTTTTATTTTATGTTTTAAATTACCTGTAAAGTTCCACAATCTTATATTATCATATCATTTTTTCAGTGTATGCACTACACAGGATCCTGTGGTTATTAGCTATGTTTAGAGTCAGCAGCGGTCTTCGTGGTTTGTCTGAAACTTGCGAGAATCTCCTTCCTGCTGCAGCAGAGTTCCCTGTGGCCGTCGAACCAGTGGATCCTCTGGCACTCCACACTGCAGTAGCGCGCCATGCGGCATCTGGGGAAAACGTAACGGCACAGTGAGAAAGATTTGTAACGCAGTGGTCACGAGCTCCCCAGAAATTCTTACGGGAGAGGTGCTCCCTAATCGGTTGATGAAAAATCTTTGAATTTTCGTTATAATACTGAGAGAAGACCCTAATTTTTAAAGCATTTTAGCAGAGGTGCTACTAAGGATCTTGGGGAGAGGCGGAGTACCCTTGCTTCCTTGCGCGTAGGAGAGCCCTGTAACGGATCTAAGAAGATAAATCTTTCCAGTGGCATGACAGTGGGCAAAACATGAAAAAATACATTTTTTGCGTGGCTTTTTGCATTTTTTTTCCACTGTCATTTTGCCCACTTTTAGGCCACAGGTAAATCTGCTTGCAGATTGCCAATAAGACACTGAAAGAAATGACGCCCACAACGCCCTACACGAACACGAATCAGCATTGTTAACATTACGTTTCTTTTCTTTTCTTTTAAACACAAGCGCACACAAAAGTCGATTTACGGAAAGTGATAAAACATACGTCAAAGAAAACGGTTTCTAAGCACGGACAACGAATGTAACGGTACATTAATTCAATGTGACGATGAATGCAACAAAAGAAATTGTCCCATGCCCTTGCCCTTGCCTTTGCCTAGCTATAGGTCATGAGAGTTACTAGTATCATACTATCACAACAGCACGTCGGCAGAACGTACTGCGCCTGAACCCCGTATTTTCGCGTTTTTAGTTGGATTTTTGGTCAACGTTGCATCAGAATTCTACCTGTTGCAGAGGATATTCTTTCCGACATAACATTTGGAAACTATTGTCGAAATGCTAACCTTATATGAGCGAATACAACCTTATATGAGACATTCTGCCGAAATGCTATGTACAAGACATTACGGGTTTCGCGCAGGTGCAGTACGTTTTGCCGACGTGCTTATCACAACTATCACCGACCTAGCGCATGCGCCGAACCTTCCCGGCGCGTCCCTCTCGCTGTTGAGGCAGATGGGAGAGGAGCAGACCACGTCCATGTTCAGTCCGTCCTCTCTGAGCATTAGCGGAGAGAAGATACAGTCGTCGTGGTCGTGCTTGGTCGCCAGTCGGTCCAGCCGGGTCTGAGACTTGTAGTAGTCGACCTAGAACAAGAAATAGCCACGCCTTTAAGTACCAGAGTTATCAACCAAGGATTGAAGTGTTCAAAAATTCATTCTTTCTCAAAACTATCGCAGAGTGGAACTCGCTGTCACCGAGTACAGTAGAGGCATTATCATTAAATGGCGCTGGCTTTAAACAATGTTTAGAGCTCAAGGGTTAGGTGTAACGAGTCGTTTGGTGTAATGAAGCCAGAAGGGCGGTTATACCGGCTATACCGATACAGAAACCGTGAAATAGCTACCTTGCCGGGCTCCTGTAGCTCCCAGGCCACCAGGGAGGCATGACGGAGTAGGCAGCTCACGAAGTCAGATCTAGAGGCAAGATCAGATACCAGCAGGAGAGTGTGAAACACGTAGCCCCTACCAGCCTTTAGACGCGGCTGGGAAGAGTAGAAATTGTCCAATTACTAGTGGACAGATAACATGCCAGTGGTGTTGGTCCACTAAAGTCAATTTTTACTCTTTGCAGCCGTTCCCGAAGAGTTCATTCGCAAACATTCGCGAATCTTATAGTGTGTTGTCATGATTGTATTCTCTATGTATGTGCGCATCCATAACCGGCCGGTCAAAGCACATTCGAATTTAGAATATTGGCCCAAGGACCAAGTCGGTAACGGGTGGTTTACAAAAACCGAGGTCATAGACAATTTTATATAGATGACTGATACGCAGTGAATTCGAAATTAGACCATATCGAAATATCAGTTGTATAGATTTTCAGTTCAATCCAATAGTATGCAACTATTCTAATTCTAACATACTATTAGTGATTGCAAATGGAGTAAACTTTGTTAACTCTGTGTTAATATCTAGGTAAGATGCCATGCTTGTGCGGCTTACTCCTTGTGCTTTAATCCCGTGTTTTCCTGCCAGTAGCTGCGAGCCTTGTCCAGGATGGTTTGGACCGCCTCCTTCATGCCGAGCGCCGCCAGCTTGGCGACACAGTCCGGCCCGCCAACCTCCGCTACGTACAGGGCCATTCTCAAACCGAACCTGCAACAGAAGCTGTACTTCACCGTTCCTGCAAGTATCTAGAAGTCCTTATTAAATGTGTAAGAGTGCAGATAATTAACCCTAACCCGCCAACCTACGGTACAGGGCCATCTTCAAACCGAACCTGCAACAGAAGCTGTACTTTACCGACGCTGCAAGTACCTAAAACTCCTTATTAAATGTGTAACAGTTAAGAGTGCAGATAATTAACCCTAACCCGCCAACCTCCGCTACGTACAGGGCCATTCTCAAACCGAACCTGCAACAGAAGCTGTACTTTACCGACGCTGCAAGTACCTAAAACTCCTTATTAAATGTGTACTGAGAGTGCAGATAATTAACCCTAACCCGCCAACCTCCGCTACGTACAGGGCCAACCTCAAACCGAACCTGCAACAGAAGCTGTACTTTACCGTTCCTGCAAGTACCTAAAAGTCCTTATTGAATGTGCAAGAGTGCAGGTAATTAACCCTAACCCGCCAACCTCCGCTACGTACAGGGCCATCCTCAAACCGAACCTGCAACAACAGAAGCTGTACTTCACCGGCCCTGCAAGTACCTAAAAGTCCTTATCAAATGTGTAAGAGTGCAGATAATTAACCCTAACCCGCCAACCTCCGCTACGTACAGGGCCATCCCCAAACCGAACCTGCAACAACAGAAACTGTACTTCATCGACCATGCATACATGTACCAAGAAGTCCTGAAATGTGTAAGAGTGCAGATAATTAACCCTAACCTGCCAACCTCCGCTACGTACAGGGCCATACTCAAACCGAACCTGCGACAGAAGCTGTACTTTACCGTTCCTGCAAGTATCTAGAAGTCCTGAAATGTGTAACAGTGCAGATAATTAACCCTAACCCGCCAACCTCCGCTACGTACAGGGCCATTCTTAAACCGAACCTGCAACAACAGAAGCTGTACTTTACCGACCCTGCAAGTACCTGAATGTCCTTAAAATGTGTAAGCGCGCAGATAATTAACCCTAACCCGCCAACCTCCGCTACGTACAGGGCCATTCTTAAACCGAACCTGCAACAACAGAAGCTGTACTTTACCGACCCTGCAAGTACCTAAAAGTCCTTATCAAATGTGTAAGAGTGCAGATAATTAACCCTAACCCGCCAACCTCCGCTACGCACAGGGCCATTCTTAAACCGCGAACCTGCAACAGAAGCTGTACTTTACCGTCCCTGCAAGTACCTAAAACTCCTTATTAAATGTGTAACAGTTAAGAGTGCAGATAATTAACCCTAACCCGCCAATCTCCGCTACGCACAGGGCCATTCTTAAACCGCAAAACCTGCAACAGAAGCTGTACTTTACCGTCCCTGCAAGTACCTAGAAGTCCTGAAATGTGTAAGAGTGCAGATAATTGTTTGCAACAGGCCATAGAGGTGGCTTGGACACTCTAGTCCTTCAGAAACACTGAGGTATTTTCAGAGTTATGCACGTATTCTTTCCACAGAACTTAGTTCAAAACACAGTAATGAATACTAGTAGTATAGATTCAACCCTTTGATCATTTGATGAAACAAAGACTACTACCGTCTTCTACTGACAGGTATGAAGAGAATGGAACTTTGAGTGCATACACATCTCGAGCAAGAAAACAAAAGTCAGCGCTAACTTAAAGTTAGACTGTAATGCTGTCAACAGATCAAACTACTTTGTAATGTCTTGTCTTTGTCAGCAGGGCTAGCTCTTTGCAACACCCACATGTTGCCCAGGCTGTGCATGCTGAACAGCCAAATAAACGAATAAACATAAGTAGTAAAACTATAATAATAACTAGAAAAGTAACATTTGCAAAGCAAATGCATAATGTTTACCTTCGGATATGGTCTGCTCTGTTAATTCTTACTCAAACACATTCACATACATGTATATCTATGGTGACAGGAGCCTAAACGCCTTCTCTGAAATTGCATGCAACATGATGTAACCCAACACCAGTTACTATGGTGACAGACGTCAACAAAAGAGGCCATTGGCCAGGTCAGAGGTTAGTGTTTGGAACAGAAGAAGAAGAAGAAGAGGAAGAAGAAATGGAGCAAAAACAACATGTTTTCCTTCGGTAAGGCCATGTTGATTTGATTATATGGATGACATCCTCCGGGAGCCCCAAAACTGATGCGCGCGTGCGAATAAAAAAAAGTTTTGCAAAAAAAGTTCTTTTCATTATGAAATCTACGTGGTCATGAGGGTTGAGCAAATGGCACAGAATATGGTTTGGCGAATAATCTAGTCTTCAAGTTCATTTCTTTACAATTTCGTCTTTTTTCGTTTGATTTTGGCATTCTACGACATTGGTATAGTTTTTATTAATTTTTTTTGTAACTTATGGTATATTTTTGCTCATTTTGCAACTGTTTTGTACGATTTACAGTATGGTTGAAAACTTTTTTTTTTGGAAACGGCCGAAAATTCATGCGCGCGCGGTGTCATCCATATAATCAAATCAACATGGCCTAAACATAATAACAAGCAGACCAGGTCGTGACGACGTTGTCCTTCTTCAGCATCTGTATGAGCAGGTGCCCGAATGACGGCAGTTTGGGGTGACCCTCCCCGAGCATGGCCAGCACACGCCGGGTCTTCATGGTCATCAGCGAGTTGTGGACGCCCCACAGAACCAACCACGGCACGAAGTCGGCCAGGTCGCCGCTGTCGTCATCGTCATCACTACTACTACTACTGCTGCTGTAGAAAAGATAAATAAGATAATCTTTCAAAAAGCATGCAGGTACTCAAACAACTGGATATGATTTTGGAAACGGTCAGACGGCAAACCTGAATTTCTCCTCTGGTCTCTCAGTCAATGACGAAAGGTAGTCTGCAGGAAACGTCTGACCGTTTCCAAAATCATATCCAGTTGCTTGAGTATTTGCTTTTTGAACGTATCTTATTAGCTGGATGTCTAACCTTCATCGACGTAAGATAATCTTTATTCACCTCTTGCCACCAATGGGCCATGGTAAAGTATTTGAAAACAGACACAATAGTTAAATTAAAGTGATTTGTCTCACTGGGTCAGTCTACTGAGGAAGGCCAGAGTGACTGGTCTAAAGCTCTATGTAAGAGAACTTTATTGTGTTGGATCTAATATTTTAACTGAACAATTTAAGGACAGAACCTGTCGCTGCGCTCGCCACTCTCGTAGTTGGCGCTAAACAAGCAGCGCTGGTTCAGCTCTGTAAGCTCCGGGTGCTCCAACGCGGCGGTCAGCATGATCTGGTACAGACTGAGCAGCTGGGGGACGAACTCGCCCATCTTCGCCAGCGCGGGTTCGTACATGCAGATGTTACAGAAGAAAGTGGACAGAGCACACACGGGGACGCCTCCGAGCTGGTACCTCGCGAAGGTTAAGTTCTGCTCTTTCCTACACCTCCTGTGTATGGCGGTGTTTTTCGTGTTGGCTCTGTGTACGATCGCTAGCAATATCTCCACGGCTGGCTTCATGGTTTTCTCCGTGACCATCTGGACCACCTTCGCGTCCTTCGGGCTCGGGAAGTCGGAAAACGAGTCCAGGTCTTCTACCTGTTCTCGACACCTGTGATAACAACAGGATAAAACTAAGAGGTAACGGCGTTGGAAGAGGAGAAAGGTATAAAGGAAAGAATGGCAAGGTTGAAACTATGAATCAAAAGGACTGAAAACATGGACTGAAAGAGAAGGGGGTGAAACGTGGTGACGGAGGAAGGGTTTATCTTCGTGGAGAGAGAAGAAGGACTGCAACGCAACTTTTAAGACTGGAGTCTTTACAAGATATGGACTTAGATAGTAACTGGACTTATTGGAGGGAGAAGGACCTCGGTATCTAGCCTGGGTGCCATCCCCAGTAGTATTCGCCCGCTAGCTTACAACTGGTGGTAGCTAGCGACCTTATAGAGCGGGCGAATACTACTTGGGATGGCACCCAGGCTACCTCGGTATCTACCAGAGTCTTTGCTTCTCTAACGTCGAAGAAGAAGAAGAAGACACCTGTGAGCGGTTCTGCTGACGTTGGCGAGGTGGTTGGCGGTTATCCGTTCCGCAAGGGCCGTCAGATCCTCCAGGCAGTCAGAACAAGTGCAAGAGTCCAGGTGGCCTCCCATGCCGTCCGTTTGAGGCGGAGACTGAGACGACATCATGCAGTAAATAAAGACCTGCGGCTCGGGACGACGTCTATTTTGATCACAACGTGAACAGTGTACAGAACTAGTGTTCATAAGATGCTGCTGTTGTGCGCTGCTATGACAACTGTTCTTGAAGTGTGTTCTAGTTCTGTGTGCTGCTGATATAAACGATTCGTGAGGTGTTCTTGGACAACACAGTGGAGCGCACTAGTAGAGAAGCCGTGGCGACTCTTTATGTATTTTGCTGGTAGTCTTATATAGCCCTCACTATATAATGTTATATTACCCGATATTACAATGTATTAATAAAGACGCTACGGCTAGTACATGGATTATATATCTGTTTGGCCATGGAAAAGTCATGCAAAGCAGCGATCAGAACTTTTTAGCATTAGTATTAAAGAAGCCTGTCCTTTAGCCTGGGTACCATCCCCAGTAGTATATTCGCAAACTCTATAACCAGTTATAGAGTTTGCGAATATACTACTGGGGATGGTACCCAGGCTACCTGTCCTTGGTGCTGAACCGACATTCTACCCATTGATATGACGGAAGTCCTCTCCGCATCGTTATGTATCAGAATAAAGGGAGAAATGTTTCTGTTTGTAAGAATATATGCAAATGGTTTCTATGTCGATTGGTATTTCCCGCGCAAATAACGTTATAACGTTACATAAAAACGTTAATTGCTAATTATATACAGAATCACTGACATTATACGCACTCTTGTGAAACGGAGAACGTTTTTTATGGAAGAATTTTATGGTCTTCTCGGAAAGTGAGCTTATCTGGTCTAACGTTATAGCAAAAAGGTACTAACGCCACAAGGTTGATTTTGATGTTGACACTGAAACAAGCATAGTAAATGGCAGGCTTCATTTGCCATTGATACAGCCGGTCCCCTTTCGAAATGACCATGTTCCCAGCTAGCAATGGACGGTAACCGAAATACTTATGTCAGTGTTATATATTCACAACTGCACACAGATCAATGCAAGTCAATTGTTCTTGAAGGTCTTCGAAGCTGAGGCAAGAATCCAGAACGATCAAATTCAGTCGTTCCTGCGATCAAAAGCGCCTCTACCGAGTTTTTATCAAACTGCACCATGTCCGATCACATGACGTAGCCTGACAGAAAGCGATGTAGGAAAGAGATACAGCGGAATAAGTTGACTAAACTTGATCTGTAAATCCCAATTCTCTGGAGATATAAGGCTCTGGTGACTTTCGACAATGTCTTCTGAAGACTTTGAAAACCACGAGGAGGATTTTAGAAACCTGTACGAGGAGCTACGCCGAACGGCTCAGAGCAGACTTCCAAATGCATTCGGAGGTGAGTGAGTGCCCCCCTCCCCCATAGAAATATTGTACTGTGTACCGTGACCTGTTGTCGTTTTCCTGACTACGGCACTGCCCTCAGAGTGTAAGACGATTGACTCTAAGACGTATTTTCTTCAACTGACACAGGACTCAACATATCTAAAAGCTAATACATGTATTATAATTCTATAAGTTAAAATAATTTATTACAAGTTGAACGAAACGTAAACGATTGGTGTGCCCATAATTTTTTCGAAAGAACAAAAATCGAATTTCATGGCTGACCGACCTTACAGAACAATGAGCGTCACAGTCAACACACACATCTCTACAGACACCTCTCTACACTAACAGAAAAAAATCTGATTTTAAGAAATTCAACTGGGAAAACAAAATTGTTGTGTGATCTTGTACCAACTATGACTGTACGTAATGTTATACGTGACTAACAGAATGATAACTGACATTCTTGTCTAATTTTTTACAGAGGAGAGAAAAAGAATTGTCCGAGAGGTTATGCGGGGCATAGAGGAATGTACCACACTGGTGAGCCTTCATCTTTCTATCAACTAAATTATTGATATAACACTGACTATCTTGGATAATTTGATGACATGACATCGTATTATGGAAAGAAATCAATAACAGAAATGAGTCCTTTGCCCTGAAGTCTTTGAAGCATGATGTAGTCAGGATAGGCATATCTTGATCTTGTGCGTTGCTGATAGAAAATCTTTGTCACTGTGGTGATTGTAGTCCAGTAGCGTGTATAGTACAATGTACAGAGCTCGGGAGTTCAAATCCTAGCTTGTCACTCACCCGATATGCCTGCTACTGGTACTATAAAGTATAAGGTGCACATGCACCCAGTATTTCGAGCCGTAAAAACCCACTGGTCCCGGGCAGGGGTTCGAACCCACAACCTCCCGGGCCTCAGTCAGACACTCTAACCACTCCGCTAAAAGGTCTAGACCCTACATAGAATTCACATAGATGTAGCTATAGAGAAGTTCCAAGTTAACAGTTAACAGTTCTGTATTTTGCTTACAAATGTCGGTACGACATTTCAGTTGGAGGGGGCGTGTGTTACAATGTAAAAACCCCCCTTAATTGTTAATGGTACAGTCCGAGCCTGCGCGCATGCGCACGGGGCACTCGGTACCAGGAAAGAAGAATAAAAGGCGGTTGCCCACTGAGTGTCCCTCCGAAATTGTCTTGGAGTTGCTCCTGTGTCCATCATAACTGCTGGGAATGCTGTGCTAGAAGGGTAACAATTAAAAGTTGTTTTCCCCGTCCCACAGGTCCAGGAGATGGAGGAGGAAGTGAAGCTGGCCCCGCCCACCTACAGACCACAGATGCTCAGCAGGTTACGCAACTACAGACGGGACCTGGACAAACTGCAGAGGGAGATGGTGAGGGACACACTGGTGTCACTTAGGTGTAAACAGGCTTCAGATTCAGATTCAGCTTTATTCATATTGGCATGGCATGTTAAAAGTTTAAAAAAACATGAATTGAGCCAATATTTGACAACGTTTAAAATACACAGAGTAGATGGATAAAACTACATTAAAAATGCGATTAAAACACTTTACACTGACAAAATATAGTATTTCCTCGAAGAACAAGTATTAATGCATAATTTACATATAGCTGGGAAACAGTAAGTTGGACATGGAGTTGTAAGAATCATGTTCAGAAGTGGCTGGAAAGAGTAGAAATTGGCCAAATAGACTGATAACATGACAGGGGAGTTGGTCTGGTGACAGGCTTCTAGAGCAGGCAAACTGTACTCCTTCAGCGGACCAGCTCTCCTGGCCTGGCATGTTCGCTGTCTATCTGGCTAATTACCTTCGCCAAGAAGGTTATGTTTTCAGGGGCGTTCGTGTATGTGTGTGTCTGTCTGTCTGTCTGTCTGTCTGTAAACACGATAACTTGAGAAGGCCTTGATGGATTGTCTTGATACTTGGTAGGTGGGTAGGTCTTGATGAGACCTCAAAATGATTAGATTTTGGACCCCCTAGCGGCTTGTTATGGTACTGCAGCTGAACTTCCGGTTTTGATATCTCATGATCTAGACATGCTATGGTGATGAAATTTAGATGGTAGGTAGCTCTTGCGCTGGGGAAGAAGTGACGTGAGTTTAGGCCCCCTAGCGGCTTGCTCTGGAACTGCAGCGATATATTCTTGAAAATATTCAAAAGGGGATAACTCAAGAACCGGTTGACGGATCGTCGTGATTTTTGGTATGTAGGTAGCTTACGTGATGCTTAATATAATTATGTGACAATTATGCAAATATGGATGTAATTTGCATAATTTATGGGGAAATTCTATAAATCAGCTGTATTCCATGATAGGACAATTAAAGCTTGTGACATTGGTAATTGACAACGAAAGAAACACAGGAAAATATTGATTATGTTAATAATGACCTAATTTGCATAATTAATGAGAAAATTTTATAATTATGTAATGATAACTGCCTGGAATTTCATACTTGTGGTATTTGAAAGTTAAATTGAGGTGAACATCATTAAACATAATTTATTCAAATCAGGACCTCATTTGCATAATTTATGAGGAAATGCTAGAATGCATTGTTTGTTAGTATAAGACTGTTTTTTGGTTGAGATTATGATAAAATGATATAATTCATGAAAATTAGGTTCCTATTTCTTAAATCAGGGGGGAATAATCTAATGTATAATTTGTCAGTCATAAAGATTAACATCATTTGGCGAAGGTATGAGATCGGGGAACTCTAGTTTGTACTCTTTCCAGCCACTTCTGAAGCCTGGTAGAGGTTAGGTGTGACTGTTCACAGAAAGCACTCCACTGTTTGGAAACACTCGACTGTTAGGTGCTAGGTACATGTATTACTAATGTTGATAAAGATTTGTCATGGAAAAGACAGATCCTTAGTTTGTAACATTAGATTTGTAATATCTTAGTATACATACTGATATTAAACAGTTTTCTATTTTCTATGAAAAAAATGAGTTGCGTATCTCCACTAGTTTACCTTTTTGAGTGACCATTGTTATAACATCTTTTACCTTGAAGACATTGGTCGTTTTACTCTTTCTGTACATTCAACACCAGAAGGTTTAGTTAACCCTGTCTGTGTTGGTATGTTCCAGAAACAAGCCTCAGGTACGGGAATGATGCGCGATGAACTGATGTCAGGAGGAACGTACGACCCTGACAGCGATGAAGCTGTAAGTATGGTAACAAACTTCTGGAAGGAATAGCTGGAAGTCTTTTTTATTCTACGTAAGGCCACACCAAGTAAATTTTATGGATGACGTCCGCGCGCGCATTGATTTTGGCCTGTTCCTAGAAAAAAAAACAAGAAATTCCGCTTCCTGTAACTATGACAAAAGAGTCACGACAGTGCCACAAATAGTCAGATTGACGTGAAACACGTGACGCGAGAACAGGACAGGACGACAACTGCTGTTCCACCTGATTTATTGCTGTTTTGATGATGAATAAAAGACTTCTTGCTTGTTACACTGTGTCACCTCATTCAATTTGTGTCCTAACATTTGTCGTCTCTTAGTATATTTCTAATCTAGGCATCTTGTTTTTTAGGGCCTTTCTTGTTTTTTTTTCGCCCTCTTGCATTAGATTTAGGGTCTCCAAAGGACGTCATCCATAAAATTTACTTGGTGTGGCCTAATATGTTTTAGAAACCGGCATTGTGCTACCTTTTGGATGGACAGTTTTACCATGGTAATTGTTCTGATGATTTGATTAAAGCTATCGGTATTTGATTTGATAGAAAATAAATGACTGACACTTCACACATGGATACATGCAGTATGCATACTTCATGGGAATGACAGTATGATGCTTAGTGATGCATACCGGTTCACTGGACTTGGATCCGGACTTGTAAGAATGTTTAGGTTCAAGTCCAAAAAAACCTAAAAGTCAAGAACCGAGTCCGGACTTATTACCATAAAAGACCACTTCACATACCCCTTTTCTTTCCAAATCACCTAAAACCTGCCTTAGATTGTAAAATCTTTGCTGCAAAACGAAGAAAACATTGCCATCGGGCATCGTCAACTACCGGCCTCCATGTTATGTGGCCAAAGTTTCACCCAGACAATATTGCAAGGTTGCCAACATGCAATTTTATATATGCCATGGGTTTAGGTCCGGACTTACAAGTCCGGACCTGAACCTAAACCTCTGGACTTGAATCCGGACCTGAACCTAAAATTGGGTTTAGGTATGCATCACTAAATTGATGCTGCATGTATTTCTTAGCCATATGATAACTAGTTTTGACATTAGAAGGCCAAACACACCTGAACATTTTCAGATTGTTTTTGGTTGATCCCTGACAACTCTTATTTGCCCCATTCCTAGATCATGGGAATGACAGTATGATGGTGCAAGTGTCACATTTTACAACTAATTTTGAAGTTATAAGCTGAAACAAAACTGGTGAGTTCTCTGACGACTGTATGCTGTTCTCCCCAGAGGATGTCAGCCTCTCACCGTTCTAAGATGCTGCAGGGCCTGGAGAGCCTGAACAGAACAACATTACATCTTACCTTTTGAGTTTACCTTTTTAGGTTTTGGAGAGTAAAATGTCATTTTGTTGCCTGTTCTCTCCAGAGGATGTCAGCCTCTCACCGTTCCAAGATGCTGCAGGGTCTGGAGAGCCTGAACAGAACCTCGGCCAGCATCGAGCGCTCAACCAGGATAGCTGTGGAGTCTGAGCAGATCGGCACGGAGACCATCGAGGAGCTGGGAGAACAGCGTGAACAGCTGGTCCGCACCAGGGACAGGGTGAGTCAGACAATATTTAACCTTAGGCCACACCAATTTAATTTGTTGGTTCTCGGATTTTTTCAGGAAAAATATGAAGCGACAGGGCGAAAAAAAATAAAAATAAAAACAGGTCTTGGCATCCTATTATAGGCTTAAATGCTACGAAATGAGCCATGAAGTCAACACAAAAGGCTGGGTTGAAATTTAAACATTGAATTTTGAACTTTTAATCAAACCACTGCAATGATAGATGGGAAAACTGTAACAACTAGGAAGAAAAGGACTTTCCTCAACTGTTGGGGGCAAAACATGAGCATTTTTCAGTTGATTCAGAACCAGAATCATATTTTTTTTTTTTGCAAATCAGAAAAAAACGAAGAGGCGAATCCGAGAACCAACAAATTAAATTGGTGTGGCCTAAGCCACACCGACTTGGTTTTATGGATGACATCCACGCACGCATTGTTCTCAGAAAAAAAAATCACCTCCGACGGCACCCAGGCTGCTGCTGAAGCTCCACGGAGTTCAAGAAATCAGTACACTACAGTGTTGACTCACAAATCCCGCAAAAGGTCAGCATGTGCCGGCTTGTCGTAAGAGTCACCATGTACTACTGCAATTCGCAATACCAGCTTTGTATTCCTGTAGTTTAGATGCATTTTGGGGGGGATGGCCTTTTTTTTATCTGCCCGTGCAAACTAGTTTGGGTGTCTTCAGAGGATTTCATCCATAAGATTAAGTCTGTGTGGCCTTACCTAACGCACAAGAATAATTTCGTTAGGTTGGTAGAACACAGGATATACATGTACACATGTACTGTATTTTCTTATAGTGTATAGTACAGTCAAACGTAAGATTCACATCTAGATCTGTTTTCTTCCAGGTACAAGACATGGATCAAAACCTCAGCACTAGCAAAAAGATCCTCAATGCAATGAGTAGAAGGTGGGTTTCTCCTTCTTGGATCTATTTTACATGATTTCCAGAAACAGTGCATACTCCCACAGTGCATACAGTACTTGTGCACTGGTGCAGGTTACACTGAAAATTACCTGCACAAGTCTGATTTTTGAGTGGCAGATTCTGTTGCAGATTTTGCATGATTGTGCACTATGTATCCCTCACTTTTCCCTGTAGGGGTTGATATTTTTCTGGTAATACATGTACATATAAAAATACATACATCACAAAACCCACTCATTATGCAGAATGTTGGACTATTCATTATCCACTGCCTTCAAAGAAGAAGTTGAACCTCATAATAGCTAGCGTAGTAGTAGAAGTATAAGTTTTTCTACACTGTGGATGTCTGTCTCCTATGATTGTATTGTATGGAACAGTACCTTTGACTGTAAAAGCAATTAGCCTTCGGGCATATAAAATCTTATTCTGATCCAGTTTATAACCTTGTGGAAGCTGTGTTAAATGTGTGGTTCAGAGTGATGACCAACAAACTGATCCTGGGGATGATAATCCTGGTGGAGCTATAAATATAAATGTTTTGCTTTGTTAAACTGTGTTGTATAAGTCAGATCACTAGAGATCATCGTAGTCGAAATAAAAAAAATAAAAAAATCCTTACTGACCGTAATTTTTTCAGGACTGAAACAGGAAACACAACATTTTTTTCCTATGCCTAATAGTAAAACATAAGCTTGAATCTGATCTGCCTTTTTTGTTATTTTTTATTTTTATTTACTTCATGGTTCACCACAAAACAAGGCTCATGAGAGCCACTCAAATGCTTTAGGTTACTGTACAGCCAGTGAGGACAGATGTTTGTTGACCTTAGACTTGAAAAGTTTAAAGGTTATACCCATATGGGAAACATTCACGAGGTAGCTTTTTCCATAGTGATGTTGTTCTAGGAAAGAAGCTTTCAGCGTGGAACTTCCTCCTAAGAGGTGCTGAATGGAGGAAGAAAGGGTGATTTGCTTCGGTGGAAGTGCCAAGACATGTCCTTGCTGAGAATGATGTGTATGATAATTGATTGTTATACATAGGGTATAGAATTTTCTTCTTACACAAACAGTAAGGTTCTCACCTGCTTACGTTTCGATGTCTATCAGACACCTTCCTCAGAGCTTCTGACTGGAGTTTCTGCAACTCGCCGCTATTTATCGCCAATGTAGGTGGCGCTTTTGCGGCGGCGAGAATGCAATCCCAACGTGGCTGAGCTTGTATGCCCCCTTGAAACGTAAGCAGGTGAGAACCTTACTGGTTGTGTAAGAAGAAAATTCTATACCCTAAGTATCTTCCAACCTGATGAAATTGTTTACGATAATTGTTATACATGTTTCAGAGTGATGACCAACAAACTGATTCTGGGGATGATAATCCTGGTGGAGCTGGCCATCCTGCTGGGACTCATCGCTTACAAGTGGATCATACCAAAGTAGGGCGGAGGAGGGGGGTTCATGTCAGGGCTCTAGCCAGCACCAGTTTTTCCGTCAATTATCGGAACTTTGTGTGGCGTGTGGCGGAAATTTCTTTAAACCAATCTGTCAAACCTGACAGACAAAATGAACAAAAAGTTTGGGTAAAAATGCGAAAACATCGGAAGGACCACCGACAACCACTCTCAGCATCATGATTTGCCTGTCAAAATGTGGGAAATTGCATGTTTGAAGGCTTGAAAATCCAAACTTTCACGAGGGAGCATCGCGTCGTGCCTATGGCGCTCTCCTCCCCAAATCCAATGATGAACCTGGGCTGATGGAAAAACATTTCAAGCTGGCTCGGGCCCTGGTTCATGTACAGATCTCAGATGATTTTGTGGGACGGCCATGTCGAATTACAGCAGAGATATCACAGCTGACACAACACTGCTTCATTTATTCCACAGCATACTGCTGTCATTGTAATAGTCGAGCCATGATCAGAAGTAAATCTGTCTTGTTCACTGAATCACTGCGTCAAATGGAAAGGACAAGGGCTAGTAGGGATTTTGAAAATGATTTTGACGATGACACTGAGAACTTAAATGTCTGATTCACACACATAAAACTATTAGTATTACATTATTGTGTAAAGTATTATTGATAGATCTTGAGTAATCAAACAACAAAAACAAGAAAACGTGCAAAAAGAGGCATGCAAATGTCAGAAATGCACCACTGAAGTATGCTGTAAGGTGCAAAGCAGCACTTTCTTTGGCAGTGATGCACATTTTTAATTCTGACTCGATGAAACTACAATCTTGCAGTTGCATCTTGCTGTCTCTAACCTTAAGTCATTGGATTCAACTGTTGCATACATATACATGTATATTGTACTAGATTTTGAAAGGGCATTGAATCCTTCACTAGTATTTAATCATTTAACCGTAGATCAAGTGTAAAAGCTGATCTAACAATGAATTTCAATTTAGTATAGCTGATCAGTTGTCTGCCTGTGACTTTCTGTATTTGACCTGTCGTCTCTGTTCAGAATTACTGTTACATTTTGTACCTTTATAATTTCTTTGCTGTCTTAGCTCACTTAGTTTTAAACATTCTTGAAACTCTTCTGTGCTGGTGTAACATCTCGCTGTAATTGAAGAATTATGCGTATGGCTATGCTGTCAACCAGAGCATGTGCAATATCTGCGTATGGTACATGTGTGTACCAGCATATCTAAGTGCCAGGGATATTTCTCAATCTTTCTGCACCAGCAAGCAATAATGGGTTGTCACAAATACAATGTATCCTAACAAGGAACTTGTAGTCATGTATGTACAAAAACATACTATAGACATATGGAACATTGGATTAAGAACTTACATATACTACATTACTGTAATTCTTGCAGTTATATGACACAAGCAATGAAGTAATGCATGTTATAAGTATCTGCACTTTACATGTGTCCAAACTGCTGCTCCCCTCTTTTTTCTATCTCAAAAAGTGCTTTCTTTTCTGCTTGGTGGTTAAGGTTTTATTTGTTTTGTTTGAGTTTTTGTTTTTTTCTGTTTGGTGTTGCAGATCTGGGAACCATCCTGCACCCACCCCTCCACCACACCCTTAGTCTGGTCCATGTGTTAGGAGCACCACAGATGATCCGACAGCCACCCAAATGTAACTGTAACTGTAGCCTTATGCTAAGGTCACAATTCCTAATCAGGGCTGGGCAGGGAAACAAAAAGTACGATAAATGTTTTTTGACACATTCACACAAACAATTGGCCAGGCCCTGGTTTTGTAAATGTAACCTTAGGCCACACCAATTTAATTTCTTGGTTAACGGATTTTTCTAGAAAAATAATGGAGCGGGAGGGCGAAAAAAAATGAAAATAAAAACAGGCCTAGGCATCCTATTATGGACTAAAATGGTACGATAGGAGCCATGAAGCCAACACACCAGGCTCATTCAAAATTTAAACAATGAATTTTGAACTTTTAATGATACCACTGCATTGAAAGATGGAATAACTGTATCAACTAGGATGAAAAGGACTGTTTTAAACTGTTCAGGGCAAAATATGAGCATTTTGCAGTTGATTCTGAATTTTTATTTTTATTTGCAAATCAGAAAAAAATGAAGAGGCGAATCCGAGAACCAACAAATTAAATTGGTGTGGCCTTAGCATCACCAGATGTGTGTAAGATATGATAATCATATAGTGAAGCCCCCAGTGCTATAAATGCTGCAGCTAGTTGTTTAACTGTTCCCTGAAGCCTTCTATGAACCATGCATCATGTCTGCCTTTACCAATCCAAAGGCCTATTGGATATCATTGTTAACGATTCGTAATGAATCTAACTTTTGAAATTCATGGAATGTGATACGTAAGAAAGATATTGTTTTAAATGGTGGGCAAACTAGTGGAACAATCTGTAAAAAGCTTCTTTTACATGTTACATAAGGCTGGTCTGGAATTAAACATTTTGGAAGACAGTATGAAATGTAACTTAAAATGCAACAAGTCTGTTCATTTTCCAAGTTTCAACACTCTGACCAGCACAAACTTCTAACATTGCCCACTGGATTTTAGTACATTGTAGTAGTGTAAAGAATTACTGGCAATACAATGTATGCACATATGTAAAAAGATATTCCATTATATTCTGACACTTTTGCAGGGCACTGGAGATGTGGAGCAGTATTACAAATGTACATGACATGTGCTTTCTGTATAATAATATGATAAGGTGGAACAACTTCCTGGATCTTGCGTATTAAGAGCACTGTTGATGTTTTGTTTTTAAAGATTCATCTAACAAATCCTAGAGTCATTGAATGAAAGGAGTGACAAGGAAATGTGAAGTGCCATCTTTGAATGGGCCTATCACATTATTATGTCACAGTTTGTTTACCGCAATGAATGCCGGTCAATCGACGTTTATATTGTACAGGGGTGCGTAGCACAGTGCGTGTTTGTGTAGCGTTAGCCTTAGCATAAGGCCTACATACAGTACTACTTTCGTCTAATGTCACAACTAAATCACCCATTACGGCATGTAATGCTTTGTCAACAAAACTAGACGCAGCAAAAATCAAACATACCTGACTTTGAAAACTCTCAAATGATCTTTATTCTTTAACTGACCGCTCTAGAATGTTCTTTAGAACAGGTAAACAAACTGTGACGTAATAATGGTATAGGTCCATTGTTCACAATCGTGATGATCTCTGAGTTCTACGTAGTAGCATGATGTTTATAATAAAAGAGGAATTAATATCACCTTTTTCCAGTATGAGGGGAAAATAAGTTTTCTTTGCAGTTTACTTATTTGATCAAACAATGGTCTATTAATTTAATAAAAATAAACCAGTTTTGTAATGGAAAATATGTCTCAGTTTTGTTTCACTTCATTAGTTAGAAATACCAGACTTGTAGGAACTCGACTTGCAAGAGTTGATTTTACATGGACCAAAAGCGACCTCTATTAATAGTTGCAGTACTGCAGCATTACCGCTGAGAAATGCTGCAGTAATACCAATCGCCACTAGGTGTCCCCATTTGATAACACTGCCGCCCACCAACATTTATGCATCAATCTTCATATTACACCCCGTTGGGAAATCAAATAACAGTGCAACAAAGTAATTACTAGTAGTCCGGGCTTAAGGAGCGTGGGAGGAAGCATACCCAGAATGGTGTCTCACCCAGCTGGGCTTTATAAATCATTGGAAGCAATACCAACTTTGTCCCTCATCTTTCTGGCAGATACATTGTCACTCATATGTAGGAAATTTCCTAAGGTGTTTTTGAAGAACAACTTTGACCACTGTGTTTGAACTATAGCTTGGCAGCCACAGCATATAGTAATATATAGGAAAGCATTTCCTTGTACACAACCAGTACTTCTTTCACCTTGCTTTAATACGTTTCGTTGAAACATATAGGAAAGTTTCAACCAATAAGCCAATTGTCTTCCAAAGAGGAAACACATTATTTTATGCGAGACAAAATGAGACCACACTGCAGATTTTACTGAACCTTGTTTTAATATAAAACTCCAAATGCACAGGCAGCACGGCACTGGGGTAAAAACTGGAGGGTCTACTCTGTATAAAAAACATAGAAGCCATGCTGACTGTGGTCACCATAAAACTTACACATCCAGATTTCTGTACTTGTTGAAGAACATCAGTAAAATTGCTACTTGTACATAATGTCATGTCTTCTTCTTCTATTTACATAATTTTCTTGCATGAAATAAAATCTACAATTAAAATGCATACGTACATAATCTCAAAACTTGCACCTTCAAATTGCTCTTTTAAGTACACTTCAGTTCGTATGGTACAACCACAGGCTCAGTTGTGTTGCAGACCCTAGTCACTCATATTGCAGGTAATCATGATGACATGTTATTATTCAATGTATGACTCCAACAAAAAAAACTTGATTGGCCTTTCCAAACGTCCAGTTGGGCGGTGTGGCAAAAAATTGCAGTCTATGCTAGAAATTTCCATTGAAGAAACCCCCAACCCCCCTCCATCTGCCTATTAAATTTTAGTACAGCCCTAATATTTGCACAACTACATACTGCAACTGGACAAGTCGGTTCTGCTGTCCTTCAAAGTTATGTGGGTGGTAGCTAAGATAAAGATCTGAATTAATAACTTTACTGACGACTGCTAGGCAAACTGGACTGGCAGCTACTTGTGGCACATGCTCATTTGTCAGAAATGTAGACCAATGCTTCTAGTCAACTCTACCGTTTGCTGTGACCCCTTCTTTTCACTTGAGCCTCTTACTGACGGATTTTAAACTTTGTAGTTCTGTACTTCGTGGTAAAGCTTGTTGTTGTTTTTTTGCCTACAACAGAACTGAAAATGGGTTTTGCCCAAACACCAAGTTTGTTCCCATTTCTAAGGACCCACAGAACGCAGGCATAGAGGGTGGCTGGAATCAAAACTGATATTTTGGACGTGCAAGCAAGAAATAAACAAAAAACCGTGTATGACTGACGTTTCTAAAGTGAAAAGCAGGTACCACAATACTGGCAAATGTTGATGATTTACATGTATCCCCTTTTTCATTTAGTTCACACTGACTTCATTGCACAATTATAGCAAAGTGTCTTGGAAAGCATCTGGAGACTACGAGGGGGAACAGTACTTGTCTTGTCATTGGAAGTAGTCATGACATTCAGTGCAAGTGAAATCCTGGATAGTAGAAGATGCAGCTCTGAATTGAAGTGAGTGAGTGATGTTGCCACATTGTTGTAGCCATCCTACCGTTCATCTATAGGGCGCTAAGAGCATACATTGATCTTCGCGATGCAACACCAGTGACAAAGGAAATCCTCCCAGCTTGTAGAGCGAACAGTGCCGACGTCCAATGTTCAGTCTCTGGACTTCGTGGGGGGGACGAAGAGGGAAAGTACTCCTCAAAGTTGTTTGATTTCTCCTGGCCACAAGTTTTTCCCCACTGCAGCATGGATGGAGTGCGTCCGGCACAGACGCCGGTCTGCCCTACGATCTTAGTTACTCTTCCAGAGAACGTGAGAGAGAGAGAGAGAGAAGAGAGTAACGTACGGCCGCCGTCACTGCGCGTGTGCCTGGGCGTGCGCCTGCGCCTGTTTGTAGGTCTTTGGCGGCAGCTCCGGCGCCTGGGGCACGTGTCCGACCGGCGACATCGGCGGCACAGTTCCGCCGTTGATGCCGAACGTCGACGACGTCCTCCGAGGGGGCAGGGGGGGCCTGTGGTCAGGCACGGCGACAGGAGTTCTGGGGGGGAGGTCAGGCACTGGTAAGGGAGTCCTGGGGGGCAGCTCGGGTGCGTCCGAGGACTGCGGAATTCCGCCGCGGGGGGTCATGGGAGGCTCCTCGCGAGACGAGTCCCGTTTTCTTGTCCGTGGCGGCAGCGGGGGAGGACTGGCGTTGTCGGAATCTGCCTGGCGGGGGTGCTTCCCTGCAGAGGAGGGGTCTGAAAGGGCACGCAACAAAGCAGGATCATTAAGAATCATTTAATTAAAAACTGATGAGGCAAATTTTCAACATCAAATCAATATTACAGTATGCATAATACTTGCAACAAATTTAAACCTCCTATTCCTCAGTCTGTGACATCCAACTGACAATAATCAAGCAAATCTGAATGCCTTTTGATTTTCCTCACAGTGATAGATTCATGGACAGTTTTCTTAGGCATCTTTACTGGCTTAACTTAAGAAATCAATTCAGTACAACTTATTACAAACAACTGTCTGAGTGGCATTTGCAAGCAATGAAGTCCAGGCCACTTGACAAGTACAAGTTTACTAGTGGGACTGATTGGCCTTGCTTGGGGTAATTCATAACAACAAGCAGAAAAGTCCACCGTATCTTCTATAACATCTGAACACTTTGTGTTACTTTCACTGATATCTGAAAACCTGGTATATTACTTTCGCGTAACATCCGAAAACTTTGCGTTACTTTCAGTTAACATCCAAACACTTATGTTAACTCCCTTTAACAAATGTGTCAAAGATTTGATTAAACAGTTGATGGATAAATAAAACAGTGCTATCTTTAGGTAATGTACGGTAGCGTTAAAGTAGTAGTAGACGTTGGAGGAAATACGGTAGACTGATTGTTGTACATACAATAGAAAGAGACATGCAGGTGTGATTAGATCAGAGCAGTAGGACGGGAGTGTGTCCTACCTGGCGTGATCAGTACAGGCGCAAACACACTGTTTAGACCTAGCAGGTCAGAGCAGAAAACAAAGATTCTTCACTAACAAAAGCATAATGCATTTCACATCGCACGGGAGTAATATAAAAACAAGGAGGAAAAAGAAACAGAGAGTGTGCAATGAAGGGAAGTTGACTGTGACAGAGTGCTCACTTACAGGTTTCATTCGTTCAAAAAAGGAGGATGGTATTAAAAAAAGAGAGTTTCCAAGTATTGCAGAAGTCACAATGTACCTGACAAGTTCGACAACTACCTTGTTTTCTGCTGCTGATATGTTTGTTTGTTATGTTAATTTTTAAAAGCAAGAAGGCAGATCTTATGAGTACGTTAGCAGAATGTACTGCACCTGTGCGAATCCCGTAATGTATCGTGCATAAGGTCGTATTCGCGTATATAAGGTTAACATCCCGTCTGTAGTTTCCAAAAGTTATGTAGGAAAAGATACTGTCTGCAACGGACAAAATTCTGATGCAACGTTGACCAAACATGCAACGAAAACCTTGGAAAACTCAGGGTTTCGCACTGGTGTAGTACGTTCTGCCGACGTGCTGATCTTATGTGTACAATAACAGCAGAGCAAGGCCAGTGGAGCAGAGCGGAGCCGGGCTTACTTTGAGCCGGTCCGGACGGCGGGATCTGTACGGGCGCGAACACGCTGTGGTCGAAGCCGGTGTTGGAGGGCGGGGTGAGCGGCGTGCGTGGGGAGGGGGGCGTGTTGACGTGCGGCGTGGTGGAGCCCCCCGCGTCGTCATCGTGAACCTCGTGGTACCGGAAGGACCTCGGCTCCTTGTCCAGCGGGACCAGGTTTCCGCCCCGCAGCGTCCCCGACACGGACATGTGCCGGGAGGAGCTGGGCTTGATGCCAGGGGTCTTCAGGGGGTAGTCCGTTTTCCTTTGCTACAAATGGATAAAATGTAAAAATGTAACTTCAGGGGGTAGTCCGTTTTCCTTTGCTGAAAATGGATAAAATGTAAAAATGTAACTTCAGGGGGTAGTCCGTTTTCCTTTGCTGAAAATGGATAAAATGTAAAAATGTAACTTCAGGGGGTAGTCCGTTTTCCTTTGCTACAAATGGATAAAATGTAAAAATGTAACTTCAGGGGGTGGTCCGTTTTCCTTTGCTGAAAATGGACAAAATGGGCACCTTTGAACAAGGTTTAGAGTTAGATGTTCAAAGGTTAGGTGTAACAAGTTGTGCCTGCGAAGCTGGTGTGTTACGCCGAAGGGCGGTTATATCGGCTATACAGATACAGACACGGAAATGTAAGAAGAAAAAACATCAAGACAATGTAAAACCTTTTTTTTAGGGGGTAGTCTGTTTTCCTTTGCTGAAAATGGACAGAAAGTGAGGAAAAAAACATCAAGTCACAATATCAAATGGAGCAAACTTTTCGACTTCAGGGGGTAGTCTGTTTTCCTTTGCTAAAAATGGATAAAATGTGAGAGAAAAAAACATCAAGACGATATCAATACAATAAAAAAGGGAGAAAACCTTGTGTTTTCCTTTTGTTTTCCTTTGCTACAAAATGCATAACGTAAAAATGTAATTGCAGGAGGTAGTCAGTTTTCCTTTACTAAAAATGGACAAAATATGAGGGGAAAAGGACATCAACACAATATCAAGATAATACAAAAGGACCCCTGACTTGTTTTTCTTTGCTAAAATTGGATAAAATGTAAAAGGAAATAACATCAAGAGAACATAAAAGGATTTTTTTTCTTTGCAAAAGGTGAGAAGAAAAAGACATCAAGACAATCTAATATTACAATTCAATATATTACTGAAATCAGAACCTGAATTACTCATCCACGCAGTTTTGATTTTGATTGATCCTTTTGAACAGGAGAATTTTTTATAAGTGGGTAAAAACTTCAAAGGATTTTTTCTTAACCACAATACTGGTGAGTCTATTCCATCTGTTTGGATTTTTATGAAGCATGATGCTTAAGACTGAACGTCAATCATGCTATGTAATTATTGTCAACTCTAGAATCAGTAACAGTACTGAAAATAAGCAATCTTAAATTCAATAATGAAAATGTCACAAGACAAAAATTGCCATGAACAAAATCACAAAAAAGGGCAATATCAGAAGAAACAAAACACACAAACTAATTCAATACTCGTACTGGGGAAATTTTTTGGCCAGAATTTTTACCCCATGCCGTGCTACATGCTTAACACTGCAGACAAATTCAGAGTCCTGACTTACATATTTGGGTGGCTGCTTCGCGTTTCTGGGCTCGATCTCCAAGGACTGCTTGTACAGGTAGTCATCAAACTCCTGTTCTGTCCTACCTTCCAGGGGGTCCAGACTCTCAAAGAATCTCTGTGAAGTAAAACAACACAGTTTGCAAATATATATTAGTACATGTATGAGCTCCCACACACATGCAGAGTCTATATATACTAGGTAACTGTTCTCTGGAGTTAGTAATCAATTTGCTGAAGTGTTAATCCATCTCCGTCCTGCCTTCCAGGGGGTCCAGATTCTCAAAGAATCTCTGTGATCTAAAAGATCATAGTCAGCACATGATTTTACCTAACTCTCCCACACACAAAGAGTCACATGTATACTAGGTAAATGTTTTCTGGAGTAAGTAATCAATTTCCTAAGGCATTAAGAAAAGAAAAACAGTCACACATGCTCCGTCCTGACTTTGGTACGTCCAGAATCTCTGTGAAATAAAAGACCACAGTCTAATAATATTGAGGTCTCACTTACCCACAGACAAAGTTTCATGACAATCCAATCTTGAGTTATTGTGCTAAATCACACACACACACACGCACGCACAACATTCTGGCAAAGGTATTGACTAAGACTAACTGACCTCCTACACATACGTAGCATGAGTTTACATATAGGTACTACATACATGTATTCTCTGGAATTCTCAGTAATTAATTTCCTAAAGCCTTAATCCAATAAGCCAGTCAAACAAAATCTCTGCTTACCCTAACTTAAACTGAAAATCTGTCAAACATCACACACATACACACAACGTTAATACAACAGTACAGGACCACAACTTGTACTCCTGCCACCTCACCCCATCTATCCCTTTGCCTGGGAATACTGGTCCGAGTACCACACAGCAAGGAACATGGTCAAGCTTTAACATGAGTTTGGAAACCAAAAAGTAGCAGCTAGCCCTGTAGTCCCACCCAGACCAACTGAAGCCACACGACACTGCAGCTAGCAGCCAGGCTTTAAGGGTTGTTATGAAAGCACAATTATCTGTAACGTGTGAGTGACTCATCCCGCCTACTTCCGCACTTCCGCCCGAACAAAATCAATAACATCCGGAAAGGGGCTTCATACATATTCATCAGCCTTCCCTTTGTGCAATTACTCACGGAAGGTCACCCACAGAAACCACTTGGAACAAAAAAATCCAATAGACACAGATTCATGGATGGAAGCAATGAATATCTAACTAACATGTCGAGATATCTAGCAAAGCCAGTGTTGAGTATGAAATATTTATATAATACATATATTTCAGAAGTCATTACAAATCGTGATACACCAGAACATTGTTACCATTTAATGCCACATTACTGTGAATTTGAGGCCAGCGATTTTATAGCTGGATTTTCATGAGATAGGATAGAGGACTGAGAAAAGTCGGGCACCAGAAATACTGAATAAATACACTGTCCAAATCATTTTGATCAAGCAATCCCACCGGAAGAGTAATTTTCTATACTTCTGTGCATCTTGTAGCTTTCAGACTGATCCTAAATAATTTAACATAAGCACATGTTACTACTAGCTAAGGATTACTTCAACTTTGGCAGAATATAGAAACTGATGAGGATTTTCTGACTGACTGTCTTTAAACCTGACAAAGCAGAATGACTCTCCTGAAATGTGGATTCTGCAAGTCTACTACTATCTATGAACTCAACTCAAGTCACTCAAGAATAGACTATTTCTTTCATGCTTGGGACATTAAACCGTTACCCTTTGAGATGTCTATCAAATTACATTACAGGAGAGCTTGATCTAACTATTCTAAATGTAGACTTTCTAAAACCTCGTTAAATACTACTAAATAGCTGCAGATAGACGACCTACGTTTGGTTGACACTTGGGATGATGATGCCCCATACCAACTGTGCCGGCGGCCCAGAGACTAACTCCAATCATTTAGACTCTGACACCAGGTGAAACAATCCCGAATACAGATCCCCACCCAGCCAGCCTGCCAGCAGTGCAGAAGAAATGTCACCAGCCAGACTAAGTAATGATCGGTGGGTGGATAGATTGAAGGGAGGCATCACAGGAAGAGCCAATGATGTCAGAGGGATTAAGAAATTATAGTGGTTATCAGCGTGTGGGTGGGAGTGTGTGGGCGGCGTGTGTGCCGCAATCATCCCGGCGCTCGCTCGCTCGCCTCTTCAATGACATCAGCACAACGTCGTGGATCATAACCACTTCCCTGCTGCCCCCTGCACCCGGGACACGAGCCCCGTCCCGAGGGGTGTGATCGTACTGGAGGCCGGATGGCAGCACCCGGGGAACTACAAAGGTCAGGGTGGACTGGGGCAACGGAGCGCTTTGCTGTGTAGAACAGCGGGAGAGTTTGGCCACAGCAAGTAATTTTTAAGGATGACATCAGCGAGCGCATTAATTTTTGCCTGATTTTGAAGAAAAAAAAAACAAGAAATTTTTTTTCCCCTCTGACAGTGGTCAACGTGACGAAAATGGGAAAAGACACCTGTTGTCATGCCGGAACGTGGATGGCTGATAACTATGAAGAGAGAAGACAAGAAAAGGCTCTGATTTGAAGTTTTGTTTTTGTTTTTAGAGAAGAGAAGACAAGAAAAGGCTCTGATTTGAAGTTTTGTTTTTCACTTTGATGTTGTGATATGTGATGGTGGCTGTGTATATGTGATGTGTCCACTGAATCAAAACCATTTGTACCATGATTGAGCCAAGATTTGAAATTGTGGAAACCTTGTTTTTTTTCGGCCCGCCTTGTTTTTTTTTTTTTCACCCACTCCCATTAGATTTGGAGTCTGCAGAGGATGTCATCCATAAAATTTACTTGCTGTGGCCTTAGTCTGCCAAGCCCACGTTTGCCCCTCCTCGGCCTTGATTCCGGTGGTGTGGGGGCGGGCCTGCATGCCGCTTTACCCAACCAAACTCAAATCAAATGATTATGGAATAAATGATAAGCACGGGGAATACAGGAGACAATATCCCCCGATTACTCAACGTGATTCTGCGCGCAAACCAGATCATATTTTCTCTGACCCAATGAATTTCTGTACCTTTTTTTTTTCCTTGAATGTGGTTAAGACAATCACAGCAGACTAGCATGGAGATCTATCTGCCCATCTTCTTTATCAGAATTCCCTAAACTGTAGAGTTCCACCCTATCCTGCTCACTGCCCAAATTCATGGCCTCCACCGACGGAAAGGGGGTGTTGGAATGACGTCACGTTGCCGGCCTCCAGCCCACATACCCACGTCCTGGGACGATATCTACTATCAATCTGAAATCTGCTATCTGTACACCGTCTACCACTTGTCATAGGAACTGTCCAATGTGCAGCACTTGAAATTCACTTCTGAGAATAGGTGGACTGCTACACTTAACCTAACAATTTAGGTGTTCTGAAAAAAAATAATTCTGAGCTTAACATGAGAAAAATTCTACAGCTAACTTCAAAACTTTAAACAAGTTTACTATTCTTTTTATACTTAAATGTCAAGAATATACTTTATCTGTATATTAGTGTACAATAGTAGGTGCACAGCTCCAGTTTTGAATGTACTGAAGTACACACAGTATTTTGAGTCCTGAATGTATAAGATTTGTATTACTGTGTTAACTTGTGTAACAATCTTTAAAAGATTTTTTCATCACTTTACAGAGCCATTTCATTTTCTATGGCTAAACAATGATGTTCTGATCATGAATTCTCATTATCCTACAGCCAAATACATACTATTGTTGTTTACAGCTGTCATACTTAATAATGTTACCCTTCTTTTCTCAAACACATCCGATCGAAAATTTTATTTATAATGTCAAATGTAAGGGAAGGGAAATTCTTCAAATTAATCAGTGATAATAAAACCAGCATCACAACTACTGAAGTAAAAACCTTTGTTAACATCTCGAACTTGAATTCAAAACAGGACTTAGATGGTACGGCCACCTCCAGAGAATGGACAGGGACAGATGGCCGAAGAGGATCCTCACACTGGATGTGGAGGGTCCAAACCCCCGTGGCCGCCCCAGAAGAAAATGGTATGACAACGTACGGGAGGACCTCCACCACCTGAACCTAGATATTATTGACCCACAGGACAGAGACAAGTGGTGTGCTGCCATCAAGCCCCAGATGTATTGTGCAAGCACGTCTAACCCTCGGAAGACGGGGAACAACAGACGATAAACCGGACAGTGAGTGAGTGAGTGAGTGAGCACTTCCTAGTAGTTTTGTCACATACAAATACACTACGTAATGTACATTAGTATTTGCAGTACAATCAACCCAATGTACTGGGAGCAATCTTTTTTCCACTGACAAACCTGTTCAAGTACGTAAAAAGGCATCATACCATCATTTATCTATAATGGTTGCATGTTGCATCAATCAATACTCTGCATGTACCCCAAAATTAAACTAACTTCCCTATTATACCCCTAACCCCCCCTGTCCCCCTGTGCCAGATGTACTCCCCCCTAACACCCCCTGTACTGACTTACCCTGCTCCACAGTTAGACAGTAGGGCTGGTTCTGATACTGGAACCCCCCTCTAACCCTCACCCTGTACTGACTTACCCTGATGTCCTGCTCCACAGTTAGACAGTAGGGCTGATTCTGATACTGGAACCCCCCTCTAAACCCTCCCCCTGTACTGACTTACCCTGATGTCCTGCTCCACAGTTAGACAGTAGGGCTGGTTCTGGTACTGCTGAATCTCCCCTGTGATCTCAGCCACTTTTCTTCTCTTGCTGAAGTTGATAATCCCGTCAGGGTAGTTTGGGAGGAAGTCAGGGTTGCCTTCTTCCGTCTTAAGTATGTTCGTCAAGTACATGCCTAGGGAAGAGACGTAATAATGTTACAGTCAGATGTGCAAAGGTTATGTGTAACAGGTCGTTCAGTATAATATAGCCAGTTCCCACACACTGTGTGCCTGTGAAGCTGGTGTGCTATGCTGAAGGTTGGTTATACAGTACTGGCTACACATGTATACAACAAAAGTACTGACAGACTACAATGTACTCTGACTCGCCATGCTCCGAGAGTGGCTGTCAACACATACCACCTTCAAAGATACAGATACAAAAGAAAGTGTGTTATGCCAAAGGGTGGTTATACCGGCTATACAGATACAGAAGCTGGTGTGTTACGCCAAAGGATGGTTATACCAGCTATACATATACGGATACAAAAGCAAGTGTCTTATGCCAAAGGGCAGTTATACTGGCTATACAGATACAGAAGCTGGTGTGTTATGCCAAAGGCCAGTTATACTGGCTATACAGATACAGAAGCTGGTGTGTTATGCTAAAGGGCAGTTATACCGGCTATACAGAGATACAGAATGAAATCACAGTGGGCATATTTCTTCCTTACATTAAATTTGCGTCTCAGGCCATAAAAAAAACACACATTATTCAACACAACATGGAGTAGGGGCAATGGAAATAGGCTGTGGCCCTATTGACATACCCAATGATCATGATCAGCAAACTGCTGCCATAAAAGTAAAGACATCCTAGGCACAACTATTGGGATTGAAAGGACCAAAATGTTGTTATCTATATCTTGCCTTCATCTTGAAAACATGCTTCCTTCAGACCCACTCAACGCAAACGACGCCACATTATGTACTTTACTTCTTACAGGTAGCCCTCCCTCCCATACCCTACCCACTGCCGTATCTTTGATATTGTGTTTAACTATATCCACCACTCTGGAAGATTTGACCAATCTCATTAATGTTATGCTATAGGTATTGGTGCGCCAGCCACTTTTATTTTATGTTTATGTTATACTTTATGTCATCTTTATGTTAACATTTGTATTATGTTTTATGAGCAGCGGATTCACATAAGCACAACAAGTGCTTCCTATCCAATGCTCAAAAATCCATGTGAATAAAATAAAATAAAAACTATTGGGATATGGGCCGGTGAAAAATCACGTGGGTGTGAAAAATTGCAGTACTGTTAAATACTGTGGGTGTGAGGAACTGCAGTTAAATATTGCTTCCATTTCCTAGTAGCATACGGACACGGCCGCTGCATGCATAACCGTGTAGATTAGATTAAGGAATCACGGATCCAGTTAGTACGGAGGCGAGCGTAGGTGTAGTCAGGGGGAGAGGGAAAGCGACCGTGAAACGGTGGGCGGACTCCGATCCAATCAGCGCAATTAAAGGACGGTCAAGGATGCAGCAGGAGGAAATCAAACGTGTCGTTTCTTGCGACATCGTTATGAAAAGAGATTAATCACCTTCCAAAGCACTCCCTTTTTCAATTTGCTACAATCAGAGCCAGGAGCTGTGTTGATCTGTATGCACGACACATACACGTGTACACGTACAGGACTCATAATACTTTTTTTTTACACAGTCCTGTGCAGGTGCACCCGTACTGGACAAATTTTACCTGCATCACGCAAAATTTAGAAATTATAGATTAAACTGATAAGAAACTGTGGTGACCATTTCTTTTATACTTCATAGGTGGTCAGAGTCAATACAGCTAATGAAAATCCACCCAACCTACAATTGTATGTAAACCCAGTACATAGACCAGTGCAGGTTAGGTGCAGGTAGACATCGGAAATACCTGAAAAGTTCCATTTTTACTTGCATATGTGGGTGGTATTTTGAGCCACAATGTATAAGTTACCAGCATGCAACTATGTGGTGCATAATACTATTTCATTTTGTCTTTCAAGGCAAAAGGGATGGGTGAAACCAGCACAAGACAAACAAAGCAAACAACGTGTAACACACAGTGACTCAGGATGGAACACAATAAGCCAAAAAGCAGTTACTCAAGCAACTGGATATGATTTTGAAAACGTCAGACGTTTCAGCTAGTATCCACTAGCTTTCGTCAGTGACTGAGAGACCAGAGGGGAAAACAGGTTTATAAGCACAACCCATTGATTGATATGCAAATAAAGTGAAGACAAATCATATCCAGTTGCTTGAGTAACTGCTTTTTGGCGTATCGTATTACCAGGTCCTGGATGTCTAACCTTCATCGACGTGGAACACAATAAACCTGAAAGGACTCAAACATGTCCTGATTCAAATTGTAAGATCATTACTGTGCAATAATGGAGATTTCAAACAGTTCATGTATGTCATCATGAAAGTTCATTTGTGCTGGTAGTTACATGTTTAAAGTTAGAACCTTAGATCCAACACAATCATCAGGGCCCATCACACTTCACTCAACCGCGATGGGGTCCGACATCGTCTACCAGATACCTTTGACCCAGTGACGTCACACTTCAAAGAGGCCACGTGACAAGCCTCACTGGGTCAGTCTACTGAGGAAGACCCGAGTGACTGGTCAAAAGCTCTAGGTGAGAGAACTCTATTGTATTGGATCTAAAGTTTTAACTTTAACCATTTTTTTTACGTCACTTACTCACCAAAAAAAGGCACACATGGTGGGTTGATGGAGCGGAGCTTTTCTGTGTACTTCTTGTAGTGATCGGCGTTCAACTCCTTGGCAGCATCCAGAGCAGCCAGCTTTTTCTCAGATACTTGCTGTAAGATAAGCGGTGTACATAACTGACATGGGAAAACTTGCATTGTTGACTGTACATCTGTGCAAAGTGTCAGTAAATAATCAGTCAGTTTTGACAATACAAAATACTCTACGTCAATTTATTTATTTATTTCTGTCTTCTTTATACAGGCAAGGACATTATACACATAATGTCCTTGATACAGGGTAGACGCACTCAGTACAATATACTGCTTTACAGGCGTGCCCTGTACAGATATACATAAACACCAACAACAGTAAGACAAAATAACCAAAAGTAACATATATATATACACAACCGAGCATCAAAATCGATGGATCAGGCTGGGTGGAGGTCAGCAATGTTGTTTTATCAGCTTCTTGAAACAGTGGCCAGATTATGACACAATATTATGACACATATCTGCACATCCACACTGGCTCATAGTAAACCATCCTACTTCACTGGGCTTCACATTCAGCCTGTTGCAACCCCCAGATGCCAGTATTTTCTATAGCAGATTCAGGTTGATGAGCATGACTTTTAATTTATGCGTGACACAGACTCGCAGTGAAACTGGTGTCTCCTCGCAGAGGATGAACTGAACTGAATATGCTATGACAAAGCAGATGGACTACAAGATTCAAAATGGTAAATACTAGAAACATCTTCAAAACAGTGTTTTTGCCAAAAGCGAAAATGAGCGTTACGACCAATCTCACCTTAAAGGTGTGTTCCAGCCTGTGTACGGCTGCAGATTCCAGCGCACTCACAATCTCCAGGACTCCGTTAAAATTGTTCAGTTCCTGGAACACCTTTACACAAAACGGAAGAAAAAAAGCCATGTTTAATCAGAAGAGATATTTCGCAAAAAAAAGTTTGTCTCATCCTTTGTTGTCAGCAGAAAAGTTTTCAACGTCCAATGTAGATTCTTAGCATACATTTGTGTTAATCATCATTCCCCCAGTTTTGTCCCCTCCTATCTAAATCTGTTGTTACTACAAGACACAAAATGACAACCCACACTTCTTTGTGGCAGAAATTGGGGGCAAGGTGAGTGTCACACTTATCAAATATACAAAGTCACATAGCTATGACGGGTACACATCTAAATCACGTCTCCTAGTTAGGTCATGCTACAAGCACAAACATTAACCCTTAATATGCAACAAGACATCTTTGTGTTCAATGCAGTCTCCTTGACAATAGTAGTTAAGAATTCACAAATTAGAGTACCCAAAAAGAAGATGAATAGGGCATTATAGGATACTGGTAAATATAGAAAGTGGGAAGGAGAAAACTGCCAGCTTGTGGGTGGCTAAAAAATGTTTTAGGGTTTCAAACATGCACAGGAAACTCACCATGAGGATTTCTATAACTCTAGACAGCATGGCCACTCTTTCATCGATGTTGCGAGCTTCCACAATGCACCTCTCCATCCATCTGGTCAACTGGTGACACAACAACAAACTTAAGAACAACCACTGACTAATGATCTTAATGTGTCAAAACTTCTTCCCATACGACACTCTTGGTGAAACTTTCTACTACTGGCCATCCTTTGCATCCCTGAATGTAACAGAATAATGATGAATTCCAAGACAATTTTGGCAAGTGGTGTTCAGCTGTAGCCAGTGTTTTCGCCAGGCGACCGTCCAGCCGTCCTTTGACGCTCTCTTCCCGCTGGGGACGGCCTGAGCCAGAAAGGAGACCGTCCTTTATCAACAATTATTTGCCTCTCAAAATGCGGGAAATAGCCTTTGAGAGCGTTATAAATTTCAAAATTTAGGACCACTGTAGTAAGCTCGCCGCTCCGCCCTCCATGGGACGGCCTTCGGGCGTTGGTCTGGCAGAAACACTGGCTGTAGCTGACTGTGTCATGCAAAGTGGACGCACTGTAAGTAAATAGGACCACGTTGGAATTTATGTCTCGAGCACAATTAAAAATCTAATTTCCAACTTCACTAATTCTTTCCTTTCTTCATCTTACATTGAATGAGAGCTGAATGTTGAGTCAAACTGGAAAAAATGTCTCATTCAGAATCATTTTTTGTAATTAGCTACACAAACTTTATTTGATTTGGCCCTACCCCACGTGACCCAGTCTCACGTGACGGCCTTTTCGGTTTTAGTTTGGCTCCCACAGCCACGTTTTTTGGTTGCTCTGCAAATTCACCCACCACCGCCCCTTCTCCACCATTTCATATACGTCTTAATGATAAGATTGTTACCATATTTTCCTTTAGGGAAATAGTATTGAAGTAAGGCGTTTGTCCAAGGAAAAGTGTAGAATAAAAAGCTTTTCCCTTTTCTTCGGCCAATACTGCGTTCCTGTGTTCTTTGAGTGAAAGATAATTTGGAAATGTCTTGAGAAAAGTTTGTTGCTTACACATGTGGAGTGATGGATCATCTTGAGTAAGTTGGGCGACGTCTTGTGCTTGTCCTTCTTGGTCCAGACACTTCCTACCAACTCCGACGGCTTCACAGCTCTGAGGAAGGACATTCAAGGAGACTTAAATGAATATACTTGAAGCTTCTGATGTCCCGGGTACATGTACACAGGTATGTTAAGCTACAGACAGTATACATTACATTGCTTGACCAGAGCTTTACCATTTGGCCAACTGTACTTAAAAAAGGTTAAATGCCCTCAAACTGAGGATGAAGCATGGCACTTTTTAATCAGCTAGTAATACAATGCAGCTTTGCTACAGCTCACGTAATTTAAATAATAGTTATGAGATGCTTATGGAAGGAAAAAACATACAACATACAGTATAAATTCTGAAGTTACAGCAAGTGAAACAAGCGTGAAACATTCAAAACGCAACAAAATCATTCCTTCTCCTGAGCAGATCACTCACCTGTATAAATCAAACTCGAGTAACGTCAACTGTCTGGCAATTTCTATTGGATGGAGCTGCGGAAAAGATTTTGGTTCAGAATTGAGAAAAATCAGAGACATCATGTCCAATATGCAAGTGCAATATGTGCTAATACATGTTACTTATTAGTGAATGAATGAAGACCTTTATTGTACATTTTGCCCCACTGGGCTAAAGACAGGTCACATATTGACAAAGTACATCTTTCATCAATGTTGAATAATAAAACTGCTATAGTACACAAGTACTTTCAACTTCCTCTCGCTTTCTGGTAATCTTATAAATGTAGTTGGCAGTATGAGTAGTTAGAGCTGGTTTGTTAAAGACTACAAGGAATATAAATTTCTCTATACTATTCAAATACCTAAATTGGGAGTATTTGCTTGACACAAAATCACAAAATAGAAAAGAACGTTTCTTTCGCTGTCATACATGGAACAATCCACAGTAAAATGTACCTCGTCTTCTACTTTACCTAAACTACAATATTGGCAGATTCTTTGCTCTAGAGGAGTGCGGTTATGTCTTCCTGATTCAATTCGCAAATTGTGACAACTGATTCTTAGTTTAGTAATGGCAGATCTGTGACGTACATTTGCGATCTTAAGATAATCTTCTTCATTATATGAGTGTTTTAATAATCTGTACGTTCGAAGTTTATTTTTTGAATTAGCAACTTTATTATCGTTGTGGATTTCGGAAAGAAATGTTTGGAAATGAATATCTTTTAAACGCTGATAAATTGCTGAGATGATTTGGGGCGTATTTGAGCCGATTGATTGAACGCTTTGCCAGACGAAAGAATAACCGCATTTCTCTAGACTGTATTATTCTGATGAATCAGACAATTTGACTGCTGCAAAAATGTGCAAGATAAAGGTTTAAATGACATTTGCTAGGTGAGATGGCTTAAGATAACACAATCATACAGTTTATATTTGCAAGTACTGTAATTTGATGCTGTTGTCTTATACAATGAAGACCACACAAAGTAAACTTGCCTAGTATATACAGTATTGTATGAGTGCACCCTGTCTACACTATGAAGTAGGATATCCACAGTTGTGTACTTACTGTGAGTAGCTCGAACTGGTCAGGTGTCCTTGCTATATACCATTCTATGGAGGGAGGGGTTCTTTCAAAAGTAATTTCCCTGGGTACGTTTTCACATGATGTCTGTGGAAAAAAAAAGGAATACAGATTCTTACAATAACATTTACATGTATAAGGCATTTCAGAAGAATGGAATATGTAGAAAATGTTGTCCCTTTTTGGCACTGTAAGAGTGGAAAGGCAACTCCAAATCTCCACATAGCCTCTATCAGGATTCGGAAGCAACTGTGCAAAGTAGAAATTTCCCAAATAGACAGATAATATGCCAGGGGAGTTGGTCCGCTAAAGGAGTAAATTTGCCACCTCCCTTGGCATGTTATCTGTCCATCTCGCCAAGTTTTACTGTTTACAGCCACTTCTGAAGCCTGGTAGAGGCTTATTTGATGACAGACATGCAGTTCAGCATGATTAGATTAGAATAATGGCTCCATACACAAATTTCTTTATAGCACTTAATACAAAGTGCAATTAAGCAATTAGTACACTTACAGTAATGCAACAGAGATTCACTGATTTCAGATTTTCCCCTAATGATCTCTTGGACAGATTGTTGCGCTCTAAAATTCTTGATTATTCAACATACATCTTCCACATCCTGCATACACAGGTTAGTGCAGGTAAAATTGGAGCTGTGCAGGTATTTCTGATGTCTACCTACACCAGTCCAAAGTAGCATCCTGTTATACAACTTAGTTATAAGTGGTAACATGGCAGCAGGCCCACCTTCAAACAGATTTTTGTAAGGACTGAATGGGACAGAAAATGAGTGGTGCAGGTAAAATGTTTCTGCTGCACTTAGAAGGCTAGTCAGGTGTGACAACGCCATGATTAGATGGATATGTTCCAGTAGACTGGCTGATAGGGTGTCAAGTGATCAGCTTAGGTGTAGGTTAGGCGTAAGCAGTCTACGTGAGGTCATGCGCTACAACAGACTTCGCTGGTATGGGCATGTACAAAGGATGGACCCACAGAACTGGCCAAGGAAGGTCATGACAATGCCTGTAGAGGGACGAAACCCGCGTGGCCGTCCAAAAAAGAGATGGGTAGACAGTATTAGGGAAGACGTCAAAAGCAAGACAGAAGCAGCTGGAGAGCAGCTATTAGACCTAAACGACACCCCACGACGTCCAACTCTTCCATGACGGGGAACAACGGATGCTAAGCCGTGCAGTGAGTGAGTGTGAGTGAGTGCAGATAATTTTGAAGGTTACCTGCATCAGTGCAGGTAACAGAGAGTCAGACAAGCATTTCGAGGCCTGTATTGGAACGCTTGAGAGTCCCTACCTGTCGCGAAACTATCTTGGTGATGGAGTCGACCCATTTCCTCATGGTCTTTCCCTTCACCCCCTCGATAAACTCCATCAGCTTGTCCAGCAGATCTTTGTCCCGCTCAAAGTCGTAGAAGTGGTGGTCCACCCAGTGCCGGAACACATTCAGAACCCTGGGGAGAGATTTATTTATTTATTTACTTAATCTTCAAAGACACCTGGGTAGCTCCTTCAGCCAATAGCTGATTTCCAAGGAGGCCCAGGGGGGGTACAATAAGTAAAAGAATAATAGATTATACAAAGTACATAACAAAAAATGTAAATGAAATCAGTATAACTGGAAGTTATACATAAATAAATGAATAATACGAAGGTCAACATGAACTGAGGGAAGTTACAAGAAAACATAACTTCACACATTAAAACAGGGCTCTAATTGTTGTGTGTAATGTTTGTAATGTGTGGAGCTGAATTTCTGCCTAGACTAAGTGCTCCACGTGTATTACTCTGATGCAATCTGAGTAGAGAAAGAAAGATAGAAAAAGGGCTCGAATATTCCCTTGAATGCACATGCATGTGCAAGTAAAATTAAAAGAGTGCACGTAACTTTTAAGCGTACTAGTAGCTTTATTGACTAATATACCGACTAACTATCCAACAAGGATATGAGAAGGTAAGCAAAGAAAAGAACAGTTTGAAGTGTGTTATGACTGTGTTTTCTTGCATTTTGTAATTGCAATGAGGTTAAATAAGTTAAAGGCACCCAGTGTAGTATTAGTGCAATAATACAAAAAATACTCTGGACAAGTCAATCAGTATGGTATTGGCATATATGTCTCCTATTAGGACATTTGCATAAGTATTTCATACTCTGGGTATTCAAAAACAGGACAGAAACAAGCCAAACAAGTAGTCCCTTATTTCTTGGGACCTCCAATATATCGGCATAGCAGATTTTCAGAGAGTTCTCACCACACTCTGATATCACATTTTTGTTCCATGAATGTTGATATACAGTAGGATTGTATTGTCTATTAGTAAATTTACTAATACATTGTAGTAATACTATGTACACTTTGAAAATCCAATTTTCAAAACCCTGAAACAGTATCGAGCACCTTTAAAAACCTCCAACAGCTGCGTCACTTTTACTGTCTCAGGAAAAGTTTTCCCGAGGGACCATGCAGATTTACAGCCCATGCTTAATGGGATACGTGTGCGAGGGAGATTGTTAACTGTGTTTATCATGCATACGGTGTACAAAAGTGATGGTGTGACAAAATAAATGCCCTCAAGGAATGATTCAATATATCATATAGGAATTTAGCTGCTTTAATTAGCAATATTTCAGCATATGGAACAGGCATATTATCATAATTTCAAGCCTACAAAATTCTTCTGTCTGTCTAACAACCATTGCCGATAAAAGTAATTTTGCATTGATGTCACAAAGATCAACTGAGTGTGTCTTTAAGGATTAAGTGCAAGAGACGAGGAACCAAGTTCAATTTCAAACTTCCAGGAAGTATTTACAGTTTTATGGCAAACAGAAGATGTTAATCAAATATTACAGAATGCAGGATCTAGCCTTGAACCTATGGATACATGTGCTGCTTGTCAATTGGTCTTAATCAGAGGATTCCTTTGACCTGTTAGACAGGTCAGTTGGCAGGGCTTGAACCCTACTGTTAAACTACTCCCCCCTTTATTTTTTAGATTCGTCCTCGAATCTCAGAGTTTGAAATCCCTATGCGGCACAGTTTCCCATGATATTATACAGCACAGCCCTAACAAAATGACCAGACCTACGGTCGGACTGTCCTTCTGTTCAGGATCCCTCATCCATGACCGAGGGGTCATAGGTCGGGTCACGGGGTCACCTGTCGACCTGTAATTTCTCCAGCCAATCAAAGAGTAGCTATAAGGTCTTGAAATCTGCCCTGCCGGGAAAGCTTTTTGTGCCGTCAAATTAACTGGAAAGGTAAAAAGGATAATAGCTGGTTCCAACAGGCTACTTCCATCTTTGTCCCATCAGGGGTCCCTATCTTCATTATCTTCTCATCTCTGTTGCTTTGGCAGAGGAATCCTCTGATTAAGATCAACAGACAAGCAGCACATATATACTGTATATCCATTGAGGGTTCAATGCCAGATGCTGCAGTCTGTAAGATTTGATTGATATCTTATACTTCAATGCAATGCTTGTCTACAGCAGGGTGTCTTCCCCTCTGTGTGGAAAGAAGAACTAGTGGTGCCAGTACCAAAGACGACAAAGCCAAAGGGTCCAGAGGAATTTAGACGTATCTCCCTGACCAGCAGCTTGGGCAAGGTACTAGAGATGATTCTCCGTGATCTGCTGCTACAGGACACAAACGACCTAATCCATAACTCACAACACGGGTTTAGACGGGCACGGTCAACGGTATCGGCGCTTATCCACACGACACAGTCCTGGTATGACGCGGTCAACAGTGTTCCTAAAATGGATGTGCATGTCGCGTTCATCGACTTCACCCGCGCCTTTGACACTATTGATCACGGCAGTCTTCTCCGAAGCCTGTCGCACATGGGGATCAGACATGATCTCTGGCGGTGTTTGTGTAGCTACTTGAGTGGCCGCGTCCAGCGAGTGAAATGGGGGACGAGCATTTCTGAGGCGCGACCGGTGCTCGCAGGTACACCCCAAGGGGGGATTCTCTCTCCGACTCTTTTCATTATCGCCATGAACAGTTTAGATCAAGGAATCCCACCGAGCATCACACCAGTTAAATATGCTGACGATCTAACGAACTCAGAGTTTTTGATGGCCTCCTTGCCGGGTCTAATGCAGGTGGCACTGGACAAAGTTGACGCCTGGGCAAACTCTTTCTGCATGAGTGCCAATGCTAAAAAGACCAAAGATATGGTCATCAGTTGTCGCCGCAGCCCTGTAGTACCCCCTCCACTTACCTTGAATGGTGAATCCGTTGAGAGAGTGACTTCCTTCAAGCTCCTTGGAATTGTGGTCAGCAACGACCTTAAGTGGGGACCTCATGTGGAATACATGCTAGCAAAGGTCCAGCCGCGCATACACTACCTGCGCGTAGCTAGGCGTGCTGCCCTACCCACGGAAGTACTACTGCAAATCTACAAGTCCTTTATCCGACCTGTGTTGGAGTATGGGTCCCCCGTCTGGGCCGGTCTTCCGCGTTGTCTGTCAGACGAGGTGGAAAGAGTTCAGAAGCTGTGCCTCAGGATTTGCGGAGTTCCCCGTGGATACTTGCCCACTCTCGAGTGCAGGAGGAGGGAGGCATCACTGAGAGAGCTAAAACGGATTCTACAAGACCCCACCAACCCCTGCAATGACTTTATCCCACCAAGAGAGAACACTGTATATAATCTTAGGAAGAACAGCAATCAGTTTAAGCTCCCATTAAGCCGATCGGACAGACACAAAAACTCCTTCATTGTGAGAGCCGTAAAAGACTTGTGATGTGTATTAGACATGTATATATATATTGTATTTTAAAGTGAAATTGTACTATTTTAACCTATGTGTTCTTGTTGTTGATTTTTAAATGATGATGATGTTTTTAATCTATTGTGATGATGTTTGTAAAATGTCAATGCAATTCAGACGTGCCCGAAGTACTCGGCACGTCTGCAATGTTGATATTTAATAAAGATTTGATTTGATATACTTGCTATATAACTTAATATAGCCAATGACTCATGATTCTATATTATAAGCAACAGGCCATCTATACTGTACATCTCTTGCATAGAAGTCAACTAAGCTGATATTTTGCAGTGATTGTTACCGGTATATCATTACTAGTGGAGAAACCAATCATAGCTAGTGGGCGCTATGGACTGTATCTTTCTGCACCATGTCTTGTAGGCAATAGAAGAGACAGTTTCCTTTTGTCTTGAAATTGACTTTTGATACATATTTGACTACATATCAGTTTCAGTTTTACCAGCCATGTCCATGTATGCTTAGTTCCATGGCCTCTTTCAATGTATTTTGCACACTCTTTTTATAAACCCTGGGATTGGTCCCTGTTTCATGAAAAGTTTGTTCCAAAGCCAGGGACCATTTCGTAGCTTTAAGCTGCATTTGTCAGACTCTACCTTAGCTGGTGACTGGCCCGGCTGGTGGGTGGACGGCTGCTTTGATGGGGCCGTGACACTGAGCACTTAGAGCGACCAACTTGGCAACCAGAGGTACACATCGCAGACAGACATTTAAATCACCAGCCTGAAAATCCCCCTTACTTACGGCATGAATGTGCCTTTCACTTTCCAGGATTTGACCACGGCATTTCAGGGTTATTCCACAATCCCCGGGGCCAGAAAATGTGTTGGTGTAGGATTTCCAGCACGGGTTCTGACCTTAAGGAACTAATGTTGTGGCCTTACTCGGAACATTTCATCTGACACTTGAAAAATACTGACTCTGTCGAGGGATGTGGGGACTTTTTTCTCTGTGACCTAAATGTCACTAAGATGTAACATTGTACAATTTTCTGCTCCGGGAGAAAATCATGTCTGCTATCTTAATGGGAAAAAGAGAACAGTCTTTTTGTCTAGACTAGACTTTCCCAAATTTACGTGCACCACATCACACATGTGCATGTCACAGAATCTATACTTTCATTAAGTACCAGTATGATAGAGATATCTCCTTGTACACTTAGTGCAAGCACATTAGACAGATATATAAGCTGCATGAACTAGCAGAATTAGTTTAAGTTAACGTCCTTCCTACACCATGTGGTGCATGTGGCGGTGCCCATCTCCGGTTCAGTAGCCCTTGGGCCACACAGTTGTGCAATCACCACAGCAGGGGGCTAGTCCACTGGTAGTGGTGTGTGTTTAACTCCCATCCCAAATACTGAGTGCTAAGCAGAGAAAGCAGTATGTACCATTTTTTAAGACTTTGGTATGACTTGGTTGGGGATCAAACTCACGACTTACTGCATGCACTCTACCCACTTGACCACCCAACAAGTTCCACCACTCAGAACTTTTAAGCGCTCCACTAGGTTCTCCACTAGCACACACAACTTCAACATCCAAATTCCTTGTTCCAAAACTTTTTACAGTGACAGTTTCTTTCTCCGTATGGCCAAGCTTTGGAATTCCCTCCCTGACAAGTGTTTCCCACCAACCTACAATCTACAGGCTTTCAAATCAAACGTTCATCGCCATCTCTTGACACAGCCATGTTTCTCTCATATTTCTAGTTCAATGCTGAGAAGTGGTCGTATAGGCCTTGCATTGAACCACTCCATTAAAAAAAAAATTGCACCGGTACAAGTATGAACACAATGCATGAAACAAAGCTGTCCATCTACTGACCTGAGTTGCACAGGTTGGGCGTACTCTTTCCGGAACCTCTTCAGGTCCTCTCGGACGACCACCTCTCCTCTGTCGATAGCAGCCTGGTCTTCCGGGGTGGGAGGGGGGTCGGGGATCTCGAATCTCTCGATGAGGAGGTCTAGCAGCTCACAGGGGTTGCTTATGGAGCGGTAGGTGGTCAGGAACGTTCTCACAAACGTGGGATCTGAGGAGACAAACACAGGTGCACAGTCAAGGGGATGAACAAATTCATAACTTCTGAATTATCTAATTCTTGCTCAATTATATGTACTACTAGCCTTTGGTGTACCATATCTGTATCTATATCTATATAGCCTGTATAACTGCCCCTCTGCGTAACACACCTGAGCTTTGATGGCACATTGGCACCTGGCTATATTACACTGAAGGACTTGTTAAACCTGGCCTTTTCACATCTTACTGTTAACATTATTTAAAGCTATCTTGTGATGATGCCCCTACTGTGCTTGGTGGCATCGAGTTCCACTCTACGATAGTTCTAGAAAAAAACAAGTTTGTGAACACCTCAATCCTTGCTAACTCTGGTACTTGAGTTGAAGGCATGACTATTTCTGATTCTTTTCTGAAGTGGTATTAGAGCTGTACTAACCCACCTGCATACATGTGATATGTGAGTCTTTCTATGAGCTTGATGAGCGAGCCACCCTTGATGACAGGAACCCCCACCAGGGACTGCTGATTGTCCTCAAACACGATGTTGTCTGGCCGGTCTTCCATGGCAAACCTGAAACAGGACGTTTTACGTAGCACGTCAGCTGAATGTACTGTGCCTACGCGAAACTCATGATGTTTTGTTTAAGGTCGTGTTCATGTATTTAAGGATAACATCTCCTTTATACTTTACAAATGTTGTGTCGGAAAAGATACCACCTGCAACTGGCAAAAATTTTGATGCAACGATGATGAAACATCCAAAGAAAACCCAAATATTTATATATAACTAGGAGACATAACTCGAGATTAAACTCACCTATACTGAGACTCATCTGGTAATCTTAAGGGTTGTTTCTTTTCTTCTTCCAGTAGTATGCTGTCCAACATTCTCTCCAGTGTACTGCACAAAGAGAGAGAGAGAGAGATGAGACAAATGTCATCAGCTGAGTTTTACTGTAAAATGCTCTGTACAGACTGAAACAATGCGCACACACTTGTAGGCTCAATAGCAGCAAACTACAGATAAAGACAGATAAAGAGGTATCATAAAGCGAAAACAAAAGAAGAAGGAACACAGAGAGAGATGAGAAGATATGCATGTCACCTTACAATATGAGGCTGCTATAGGCATAGCCATGCATCCATCCATTTTGGCTTCAGTTTTGGTTTATTAAAAAAACACTTTAATTGCCATTGTCCTCATTATAGCACGGAAAGAGACAAGTTATTTGAAATGGTAACCAAAATATTCCCTTGCTAGTTTTATTCACCTTTCCAGCCTATAAAAAACTGCATTTCTATTAACACGTCCCAATTCATACATGTACAATGTACTCTACTGCACACAGAAAAGAAATCAAACCCAACAATAACATACATATCAAAAGTAGCATTGGTAGGCAGCATCCTTTATTATCATTTTGATCATCCTTTTTTATCATTATTACTGTTTATCATGTTCTTGCAATTAGCCCTCAAGCATGGCTTTGCAATAAACTTTCAATTAAAAAAATCAATCAACTTGAATGACGTAACATATTAACATATACGCTGATATTTACAATGCTGCAGAACATCAGGAGTACCTGTACGGTGCACTGTCACACAGGAGACACACGTACACAGGTGAACAGAGAGAAAAGCATCATGGTCATGTGGGAAGAACATCAGGGAACAGGGTAACAGATGGGTGGAGTGAGGTGAGGACAGCAGTAGAGATGAGATACAAGTCAACAGCAGAAAACAGTGGAAAACAGTAGAAAACAGGTACAGAGGAATGAAAAGACAGAAAAGGAGAAAACAGTGTATGCAAGAAAAAGGATAGCATTTACACACAGTAAAATTAATTACTCATTCCTATTACACACTGGGTAATAGCAGGGCATACTACACCCGTGTGAAACCCGTAATCTATTGGTGCATAACACTTTGGCAGAACATCTTGTTTAAAGTCCTATTTGTGTATTTGAGGATAACATTCTGTCTATAATTTTCAAATGTTGTTTTAGAAAAGATACTGTCTGCAATGGGCAAAATTGTGATGCAACTTTGACCGGACATCCAACGAAAACACGAAAAAAAATTTGGGTTTCGCGCAGGTGAAGTACGTTCTGCCAACGTGCTTGTTATAGCAGCATTAAACAGCCTTTGCTCTTTGTTTTATTTTTCCATACCTTCTACAGTGCAGAGTGATGAGCGCTGCCATCCAGTTGTTCTTTTCATCCTCATTTTTGGCAAAGAAGATTGTGTTGGGCTGGTCTCTCGCCACAATCTCAAAGGCATGCTTTAGTTCTGAAAGAAAAGAGAGGGATACAAATTTTCAACTAAGAGAAACATAGGAATAAACAATTTGTATCTGATTGGTCAATAGTCTTACATCAATGAACACAAAACTTTTCATAACACACAGTAAATAATTAACTACTGCCTGATGTGATGTGATGTGCTAACACAGTTGCAAGTCAGTTAGATCTAAACATACAGTATTAACAGTTTTATCATTTTAGCCACAGAAGGATAAAAAGGACATTAGAGAGTGCAGCCTTGTTCACAAAGACCCACTGGATAGAGTTGCTTGGACATGTGGTATGAAGACTATTGCTGACTGCAGCCCATCCGTGTCAGGGACCCCATATCAGTATCATTAAAGACTAGATACTACTAGTACTACAGTAACTTTTCTTATAAAAGAGCCAAAGGATACTAGGTGATTGCTAACAAGTTGATGCCCCACCATTAGTGATGCATACCGATTCACTGGACTTGGATCCGGACTTGTAAGAATGTTTAGGTTCAAGTCCAAAAAAACCTAAAAGTCAAGAACCGAGTCTGGACTTATTACCATAAAAGACCATTTCACATACCCCTTTTCCACCTAAAACCTTCCGTAGATTGTAAAATCTTTGCTGAAAAACGAACAAAATATTGCCATCGGGCATCATCAAGTACCGGCCTTCATGTTATGTTGCCAAAGTTTCACCCAGACAACATTGCAAGGTTGCCAATATGCAATTTTGTATATGCCATGGGTTTAGGTCCGGACTTACAAGTCCGGAACTGAACCTAAACCTCTGGACTTGAATCCGGACCTGAACCTAAAATTGGGTTTAGGTATGCATCACTACCCACCATCGCTGTCCTCCTTGTCGTTGATGACTATTTTCCTCATGAAGAAGGTCTCCTTGAGCCGGTACTCGGTGGCGTTGCCTGTGACAGACCGGCGCTGGTTCGGCTTGCACGCCAGAATCAGCCCGTCAAACAGGAACACATGTCTCTCTGTCGCCCGGTTCTTGCTAAACATTCCTAGTTGTCCATCTGTAAAAGAAGGATAGTAAGTACACCACCTAAGTAATTCATGTACTTGGTTAAAATGTTTAACAACATCGCTGTAGGGCCATTATTTTATCCTTTGATTACTTTTTAAGAGTGACTTTTCCTCTGTTTATTCTTACTCAAACATATTTATGTATATGGTGACAAGCCCCTCCAACTCTGTCCTGCAACTTGCTACATAATGTAACCCAACACTGCAGGGTACATGTATCTGCTACAGCACCAGTTACCATGGTGACAGTCATCTGGTCCAGGCCATTGATCTTAGTTGTTTGGAGAGGAAGAAACATAGCAAAAATAATATGTTCTTGTTCTGCAAAGGTAAACATAATAACCTTACAAGACTTAGTGAATACAATCTTCTACATCAGACACACTATAATGGAAAACTCTATTTGATTTCTATTTGCTTCAAACCTAAGACTTGCACAGGATGCTGAAGAGCCCAACGGCATGCCAGAAGCCATAGAACTACAACAGGGAGTAACAGTGATACACCCCAACAGCCCGGTACCATCCCTGGAGTTGCCATACTAAAGGAGCATCCAAATTATGGATTGCATCACCTAATGTTGGGACACTGCTTGGCTGGCTGGTGAAGTTGCTGAGACTTTTACCTGTAAGGGTATTGAGGAGTTGCTGAGACTTTTACCTGTAAGGGTATTGAAGTTGAAGTTGCTGAGACTTTTACCTGTAAGGCCACATCAATTTAATTTGTTGGTTCTCGGATTTTTTCAGAAAAAATATGAAGCGACAGGGCGAAAAAAAAAAAAAATAAAAACAGGTCTAGGCATCCTATTATAGGCTTAAATGCTACGGAATGAGCCATGAAGTCAACACAAAAGGCTGGGTTAAAATTTAAACATTGAATTTTGAACTTTTAATCAAACCACTGCATTGATAGATGGGAAAACTGTAACAACTAGGAAGAAAAGGACTTTCCTCAACTGTTGGGGGCAAAATATGAGCATTTTTCAGTTGATTCAGGACCAGAATCAAATTTTTTTTTTTTTGCAAATCAGAAAAAAACGAAGAGGCGAATCCGAGAACCAACAAATTAAATTGGTGTGGCCTAAGGGTATTGAAGTTGAAGTTGCTGAGACTTTTACCTGTAAGGGTATTGAGATTTGCTGTGCCCAAGAACCACAGGACAGAGGCAAATGTGTGCAAGCATGTATAACCCTTTGTAAACACAGGGAACAACAGACGTTAAACCGGATAGATGGAGAGAGATTTCCTCACCCATGATGAACTCATTGCAGCTTTGCCCTATGTCTTTGCCCTCCCACCCATCAATGCTCTTCTGAATCTCATTCAGTTTGGCTAGTGACGATCTATTCCCCGGCCTCCGCTGGAATCTGATGGAGTAGTCCCTGAAAATAAAACATACAACAAAGTCTTTATTACCTTCACCAAGAAGGTTGTTTTCGGTAGCGTGTGTGTGAACATGACATTTGGTGGGAGGATAGGTTTTGAAGAGACCTAGAAATTATTAGATTTTGGGACCTCTGGCGGCTTGTCTCAGTCATACGATAATTGTATTCAGGTTCAACAATAAATCAGGTATTTTTCCATCATTTGCAAATGTACAGACATGGAGTTTGAAATGTTTCCTGCGAATACTGTCATACATTCAGAGGGAAAAAGTGCAGAAGAATCTGTGGTAAACAGATGTGATAGTATGATAATAATGTCCATGTGCAGCAGAATGTTATCCAAAGTAGGACCTGGGGCTTCAAACTCAAACTTACCCTGGTTTTCTTTTTGGCAACTTCCCTTCACATATTCTTTCTAGTTGTAGCTGAAGTGGTCTGAGTGTACCGTGTGCCTGGGGGAATCAGAAGAGAAAAAGTATTATCTACAGTGTACTTTGAAGAATACAATGGTCCATACACAATCATAGTGCTAAGGAGGATGGTGCATCTACCACATGGTATCATACTTTCTTTTTCTGTTTTGAATACCCTGTGAAAATCTACCCTGTGTTAATCTACAAGTCTGCATAATGCAGAAAATGATAGTGTAAATCTTAAGGACAGAGAACAGGATTGAAGGGAGCAAAACAGATCTACAAACAGAAAAGAAGAGAAGAGAACAAGACAGTGCTGTGTGGTACATACCTGTTCTAGGCTTTCTTTATCTTCTTCATCTGGACAGGTCTTCAATAGTAGCTGGAGAACACAAAAGAGACTGGTCAGTATGTTGTGGAAAGTGGTAGCAGAGGGGAATCTAAATCGATAAAACCTCTCAAACATTGTAACCTCCATCCTGTTAAGGCTGCCATTTGGCACCAAATTTTCTATCAGTCGTGGGGCTAGACAGCAGGGAGTAGGTCAAAAAAAGCTCCACTCCACCTACCTTTATAACCTCGAAGTAGTGCAGACAATGGTAGATGGGTTCTAGCAGCAGCTTGGGCAGGACATACTGAACAGCCTCCTTAAAACCTTGACTTACAGACTGCAAAATATAGAAAGTCCATGATCATGAACAATTTCATCGGGTTGGTGAATGGTTGAATGGCAAAGGTCTTCATTCACAACCAGTTGTTTAGACAAGAGCTGAGGTTTCGATGACTGTCATCTTCATCAGGGCCATTATGTCCCTGATAAAGATGACAGACAGTCATAAAAACGTTGGCTCCAAACAAGTGGTTGTGAATAAAGAACTTTGCTATTCAAAAGTCCATGACGTATCCAGATTGTGGCATGAATGTGATTTCTACTGTTCACACACTATGGTATCCAGTAGCTAGTCCTAGTTAGCAAATGTAATAATAATCCTTTGCCAACCATTGAAGCTCTTCCTAACTTATGTGAGAAAGAAAAAAAAACTACTTTCAGACCAATGTATCTGATGGCTTAGGTTTTGAATCATAGCCTTATTAAATGCTGTCTCCGTCCCACACTCAACCAGGATTGTCCCAGTGGCTCGATGCTCCCGCCGCATTAATCACACTCGAACATTGCAGGCCATCGCGAGCAGAAACGACTTCTACAGGTTCTCGTTCTTCCCCCACACCATCAGGGAATGGAACGAACTTGAGCCTGGTGCAGCGGAGGTGGGGTCTCTCGCCCAGTTCAAATCTGAACTGGCGAGGACCCTGCTGCATTGAGCCATCCCATCATGTCTTGTATATATGTAAATATTACTAACGCACTAATGCACTTGTCCCGTCTTTAGCACACACAAAATCAGTTGTTATATGTCCCTTATCAGTTATCCTTGTTTTCCCTTTGTTTTTTATGTACCGGGTCACAATTGTTACTAACAATGCATAACGGCTGCCAATAATCCTACACTGTAGGGCTAGGCGGTAACAAAGAAGCAGCACATTGAACGATAACAACAAAAACACTTCATGATTTCTGTCACCATGACAACATCCAGGAGGTTAATGGCAGCTACTCACATATTGACATAATAAAACATTTTATCATCACAAAACACAGACTATACTACACCTGGCTAAGTTAAGAATATAATTATACACTGACTTACCTGAAAAAACAGGGCGACTTTAGGTTTGACCAGGACTTGACTGTGCCTCTGTCTGCTGGCAGGATTCATCATGTCCTGGGCATAGGTCCGGTACACATCGAACTCTGCAGACTGCAGGGGGGGAGGGGGCGCAAAGGCAAGGTCAGGTAGAGGTCAATGAATAGTCTGCATTAAGCTTTCACAGACATTTTATCATCAGAGAATACACTAAAACTGGCTAGACTAAGAATAGGTTTGACCAGGATCATATCCTGCAGGACCCATCGGCATAGGTCCGGAACACATCGAACTCTGCAGACTGGGGGGGAGGGGGGCGACACAGGCAAGGTCAGATAGAGGTCATTGAACAGACAGTAAACTGAAAGGTGAGTGTAAGTAACCTCCTTTTCAGCACTAAGGACAGCTCAAACAATTTAAAAACTACCAATGTTACATCACTGATATTGTTGAATTGTTTGATGTATCCACAATGTTCAATATGATAAAAACTGATAAAAACTCATTTTATCAACAGATAAAAACTGAATAAAGAAAATATTTCCTTTTCACTACAATTTGACTGACTGTCTACTAGTATAACCAAAGATTGGTCATCATGGTGAATGAAAAAGTATAGTGATCTTCATTCAGTTTTAGCTCACTGAAGAGCTACTGTTCCACTGCTCGTGACAGAGAAGACAGTCCCCAAAAAAAATTTGAGCTGGCTAGAGCCCTGCTGTAGATGCCTACCTCTGCCATCTCCTCGAAGCAGCCCCCGACGGCGGCGGCCGGGTTGTTCTCATCAGTCATCTCCATGGTGTCCTCCAGCAGCCCCAGGAACGTGATGGACAGTTCGTGCACGTCCAGGATGTTACTGAAGATCTGGTCCAGGTCCTGACGGGGACACAAGACAGTTAGACTACACAACAGGTTATATACGTATCAGGGTAAAGACTCTGCTCAGTGGAAACCGCTGAGTCGATCAGGATTATATTGCTGTTTACGTATTTCAAGTCAATCCATTGATCAAAGTTGTACGTCCAGGATGTTACTGAAGATCTGGTCAAGGTCCTGACGGGGACACAAGACAGTTAGACTACACAACAGGTTATATATGTATCAGGGTAAAGTCTCTGCTCAGTGGAAGCCGCTGAGGCGATCAGGATTGCTGTTTACGTATTTCAAGTCAATCCATTGATCAAAGTTGTGTACGTCAAGGATGTTACTGAAGATCTGGTCCAGGTCCTGATGGGAACAGGGACAGTTAGACACCATCTTAATAATAGTAAAATGTTAAACTTTATTCCAACACACTATTTACAGGGATCAAATTTGCAGCGACCACTGTCGCCTTCATCAGGATAATTAATGACCAATCACTTCACAACGTGATCTCGCCACCATCTCTATCACTTAATAGAGATGGTGGACGATATAAACTCCCTGGCACTTTTGATCAATTGCTTACGTCACGTATCAGTAAAGTCTCGTGTGAATAAGGTCACGTGTTTGTAAACCGTAACTCTCCCAAGATCACGTCGTGAAGTGATTGGTCATTAATTATCCTGATTATCCCGACAGTGGTCGCTGAAAATTTGATCCCTGTAAATAGTGTGTTGGAATAAAGTTTAACATTTTACTATGATTACTACCAACACAGATGAACTTTCATGATAACCATCTTAATAATGTCAGGGTAGAGACTCGGCTCAGTGGACACTCTAATCAGAGTCTTTGTTGACAGTGACTCCGATAAGGATGTATTCCAAGACTCAGTCAATCCATTGATCAAAAGTGAATTGAATCAACGTTGTGTTCGCCCAGGATGTTACTGAAGATTTGGTCCAGGTCCTGACGGGAACAGGGACAGTTAGACACTCCCCAGAGCTTACAGTGTATTGCTACATATTGTTGTCTTGAGTTAGGCCATGTTGATTTGATTATATGGATGACATCCTCCGGGAACCCCAAAATTGATGCGCGCGTGCGAATAAAAAAAAAGTTTTGCAAAAAAAAAAAGTTTTCATTATGAAATCTACGTGGTCATGAGGGTTGAACAAATGGGACAGAATATGGTTTGGCGAATAATCTAGTCTTCAAGCTCATTTCTTTACAATTTCATCTTTTTTCGTTTGATTTTGGCATTCTACAACATTGGTATGGTTTTTTTGTAACTTACGGTATATTTTTGCTCATTTTACAACTGTTTTGTACGATTTACAGTATGGTTGAAAACTTTTTTTTTTTTTTTAAACGGCCGAAAATTCATGCGCGCGCGGATGTCATCCATATAATCAAATCAACATGGCCTTACTCGTAAAAGGGATGATGTAGTTCAACTAGACATACGCCTCGAACTTTGAAGTATCTAATATACTAGAATATAGCACAATATGTATACTTACATCGATGAACGTTAGACATCCAGGTAATGAGATGCAGAGATACTCATCGAAAACTAGTAGACTTTAGGTTTCAAAATCTATCCGATTGCTTGAGTAACTGTTTTCTTGTGCATCTCATTACCTGGATGTCTAACCTTCATTAATTCAAGTAGACATATTGTGAGATACTATAGTATCTTACATCTTTTATTTCATTTCACTTCACATCTGTGAAAATTAATGCTCACGACCAGATCCTTCAACATTGTTGGAATCATCATCATCTGTTGGCCTGGATTTTTATAAAACATCACTCACAACTTATCAACTGACAGTATTCACTGTCATTTCAGTTATCATTCAGCCAATGTTTAATAGTACTGACCTGCTCTGAGAAGAGTTTAGGGTTGACAGCCATGGAGTTTAATAGTACTGACCTGCTCTGAGAAGAGTTTAGGGTTGACAGCCATGGAGTTTAGAAGTACTGACCTGCTCTGAGAAGAGTTTAGGGTTGACAGCGATGGAGTTTAGAAGTACTGACCTGCTCTGAGAAGAGTTTAGGGTTGACAGCCATGGAGTTTAGAAGTACTGACCTGCTCTGAGAAGAGTTTAGGGTTGACAGCCATGGAGTTTAGAAGTACTGACCTGCTCTGAGAAGAGTTTAGGGTTGACAGCCATGGGGTCCCTGAACACCTTGATGATCATGTTGAGATCTCGGATGTACTGAGTCTCTTCCATGATCAGTTCCTTCACCTGGAGACAGACAGAAAACACTGGTCAGGTTTCTATACTGCATCATGGCTGTACAAATCTTAATCCTGTCATACATCATTTTGAGCACATAGGTCACGATAATCCTAGTGGTCTCCTGGTGCATGCTCCCCTGGGTAAATTTTGAAATCTTGACTCTTTGAAACACTAATTTCTGCATTTTGAAAGGCAAATTTTGCTGGTAGACTAGGCTTAATCTAATGTCATCTGTTTTCATATCTTTACACCCCAAAACCAATTTTGTCTGACAAAGCTGATGGATTGGGCAAAATTTTTGTCTGTCATGAGCAGCAAAATTGATGGATGCTGGTTAGACAAGACAAGAAGGGACAGGGTCAGAAACGAAGTCATCAGACAGTTGGTTGGCAACAAACCAGTTCTCCAGTTTATTGCCAAACAAAGGGTTCGGCCACCTGATGAGAATGCCGACCACTCAGCCAGCCCTAAGGGCCTACACTGCCAGGCACTCAGGAGTAAGGGCCAGGGGGAGACCGCGCCGCCGATGGATAGATGGAGTAGCGGAGATCCTCAGCGCACACGGCATGACACTCCGGGAGGCCACACACCTGGCAGTGGAACGTCAACTACATCTCCCCGCCACGCCCCACCAGGCATAAGCGGAAGGATAAAGTAAAGTAATTAACTAAGCTGGTTGGAACACTGCTAACAGCACCTGATATCAGGGACGGCTTAACAGATCTCACCTGCTCCTCAAACGACAGGGACCCCCTGCGGATGGGCGGTGGTTCCTCCTCCACGTTAGACAGACTCATGTCCTCGTCCTGATGGAACATGTCCATTAGCACCTGCGGAGGGGGGAATGACAAACCCTGTGGTCAGTACAACGATGCTTTGTATTTCCTGTACCAATTCCTCAAATGCAACTTTCTAGCACTGTTGGAAAACTTTAAAAACCTTCTAAACTGTTGATTTTGACACATTCCATCAGTCCAAAAGTAGGGCTTAAAAGCCTTACCATAACTTTGAGGATAACCTCCATAACACAAATTTTACACCAGAATTATGTATTAGGAAGTATCAATAATGGATCATATTAAAACTGTTTTAACTTGTGCGGGTAGACATGAGAAATAACTGCACAGCCCCAATCTTACCTGCACTAACCTGCATATACCCAGTACATGGACCAGTGCAGGTTAGGTGCAGGTAGACATCAGAAATACCTGCACAGCCCCTACACCTGCACTAACCTGCATATACCCAGTACATGGACCAGTGCAGATTAGGTGCAGGTAGACATCAGGAATACCTGCACAGCCCCAATCTTACCTGCACTAACCTCCATATACCCAGTATATGGACCAGTGCAGGTTAGGTGCACAGCCCCTACACCTGCACTAACCTGCATATGCAGGTGTATTTGGAGTGCCGAAAAGTCATGATCATAGACTAATGATTACAGCGAATGTCTGTACTTTCTGAAAAAACAAGGCAGTACCATACACCTACATGTACACCTTGTTCATGAGAGGACCCTTAGCCTTACCTTGTCTGCACACATGGCCACCTTGATGTCCTGACATGACATCTCTCTGTGTCGGATGTTCTTTACATAGTTACCTGCCAACTGCGGAAATGGGAAAATGTGAAATTAACTACACGTACTTAACTGACAGTGTTTACCATCTATACCAATGTACACTGGTTTGCCAATGTCTATACATACCATATATACCTCACAGCTAAATATTACTCACTATTACAACAGACTTGCAGGGTACATCAAATTCCATGAAAATTATAGAAAAGACCTACAACTTGTTTCAGCACACACTATCTACAGAAAGTGTACAAAACATACAGTAAGCAAGCTTACTCTAGCATAACAAAGAAAAAAGACCTTGTTTTGATCTTAGGGCTTTACATGGCAATGTTATTAGTAATACTAACTACTGCCATGCTAGCTATGTGCACCATTTATCAATATTGCGGTAATTTGTGACCAAAATATATCTCCAAGGACTTTTTAGTTAACACACACGTGGGGGAGGCTTCACTAAAATCTTTTTATTTCAAAGGCATATCCTGCATATGGTAAGGTTTTACATTTAGAAGACCACAGTTGCCCAATTTTGCTACAGAACTTGAAGCTAGTATCAGCAATAAAGTTGATTTGATTTGATTTGATTCATTAGAACTGCAGACAAGTACAATACTCGTGGGCCACAGGCAGCGGGAGCTGGTGTTGTGGCCCACACACAAAACAATCACAAGCACACAAACATCATAGATTAGAATAAGCAACAGCATAGCAAACAGCATAGATTAGAATACTAGTATATCAGTCCATTTTAAACTAGATACAGTTCATGCGGTTTCTAGCCGCCATAAGTTAACATGCTGCTGGTTGACACATAAGTTTCCGCTAAAGCTACAGTGAAAACAATGGTCGCTGGTAAATACCTGCCCTGTAAATAGTCCTATGAATAAATAAATGAGGACATACCTTTAGAATATCAGCAGAGATGTACTCCAGTACAGCCACGATGTACAGGGAAACCTGCTGGTCTACCTTGTACCCCAGAACCTCCTGTGGACACAAGCACACACCGGCTCTCATTAACAACAAATAAAGGGGGCTCTCTTAATTTGGCACTCAGGGTTGGACAAGTTTTCAAAAATCCTCTTGCCCCTATCGGGCAAGTACATGGTCATTTTCACTTGCCCGAACCAACTTTTCACTTGCCCAAAATTTACATGACATTTTTATGCATTTTACTACCAGCATCTTATTTTAGAGATTATAATGATGCATACTTTATTTATCAAAATAATGTGGTTTGAGACTTGCAATGGATTTTCTGACAAAATGACATTAATATAATATCAATTTGGCAAAATGATGAGTAATTTTGTTCCAAACACCATAGCAGCTATACTTTGCATCCAAAAAATTTACTTGCCCATTTGGGCAAGTCCAGGGGGATATTTACTTGCCCGAATAGTACTTTTACTTGCCCTGGGCAAGTGGGCAATGGGACTTGTCCAACCCTGGGCACCAAATAATTTGTATTAGTTATGAGGTTCGCAGCAGGGGGGATGTTTGAAATACCACACAAGTTTGTAGGCTTTAAAATCCTAAACACAATACAACATATATTGTACAAGCACAGAAAGTTAGTGATTTCTACTTCAGTTTTGGGTTAAAATATTTTTAGTGTTTGGGCTTTATTTTGAATGTTGATAGAGCTGTACTTTTTATCATGACTGGTCTACAAAACCTTATTCATAAGAATAAGTTGAGAGGAGAAACAAGCTGCTGTACCTTAAGCAGTGGGTGGATTTTGTCATGAGGCAACACAAGTGGTGACTTCTTCTTGTACCTGTTAGGACAAAAACAAACACATCAACTTAATCAATGGTCTGCTGTTTTGGGCCACACGGACTTAATTTTATGGATGACATCCTCTGAAGACCACCAAACTAGTGCGCGCGGGCGAATAAAAAAATCCCGGCAAAAAAAATGCTACTAAACCACAGGAATACAAAGCTGGTATTATGAATTTGCGGCACATAACAACGTATACGACATCTGGCACATGCTGGCTTTTTGCGGAATTTATGAATCGGCACTGTACGTATGTACTGAGTTCTTGAAACGCTGCTCTTCGGTAGCTTAGGTGCCATCCTCGAGAGTTACCACCGGCTCCCTATTGTCGCTAACTACCATGGACTACCCAAGCCTAGATCCAGGCCAGATCGAGGTTTGGAGGACGGAGGATCTTTTTTTTTTTTTGAGAACAGGCGAAAATCAATGCGCGCGCGGATGTCATCCATATAATTAGGTCGGTGTGGCCTTACTGAGGACAAACAACAGTCATCAGCAGATCGTATTGCTGTTGGAAATAAACTTCTAAAACAACTTGTAATTAGATTAAGTGCAGGATTATTTATGGATCCACTTTGCTTGAACTAATAAGTTTAATGTCTGTACACATGTCAAAACCATGTAACAGACCGTCAGCAGCTTTAGTGAGGCCCATGAGAATAATCATTGATTCTACAGGCAATCCTGATTGGAGAATGTAAAATTTGATATATTTGCTTAAAAGACATAACTTTTTCACTTTAATTCATGTCACTTTTAGATCAATCTGACTTGGATTGGCTTCAAAGGATTTTGAAGTGGGAAACAACCCTAACACATTAATAGCATTATGATAAGAGTTTCTGTCAACAACGACTCTGATAAGGATCTCTACCAGTAGAATCAGTGATTCATAATATATATTATGATCTCTCCTACATAGTTCTCACTAGGCTATTTGAGCGTAATGGCCTCCTATGAGCTATGATTTAGCCCCCTACTGTCTTTCAACCAGGGTAGGGGAGTTTTTTTGGGGGGTTGACCCTTCATAAAGCTTTTGAAAAAGGAAAATATAACTTTAAAATGAAGTTATAACAAAGGGAAAGCAAAATCTGTCTCCCAATAGACATTATTAAAGTGTCTCAGGGGGATATGAATAATATGAGTTACAAAATTTTTGGGAGACTACCAGACCCTTGCTGGGGTTATGTTTTTGGGACTCAATACGCAACTTGCCCTTCTGTACCTAACCCCCTATGCTGTGAAAAAATCCTGGTAAGAACCCTGTCTCCCACAAGTTATCTGGCACGTCTATCTGGCACGTATGACCCGCTACTACAGTCACGTGTCTCTGATGTCACGTTCCAAGAGTAGACGGGTCCATTCCGTGAACAAGGTTGATGGAGTCAACCGAAAATTTGGGGTAAGTCCCAATTCTATATCTAGTGTTGGAAGTTAAAGTTCAGTCTTTATTTCATAATGATTTGTACCAACACAGATGAACTTTCATGCTAAGCTGTCTCCTACCTGTCGAGTGCGGACTGTGCGTCCCCGATGGCCCACTTGTCGATGGGGTGAGGGAAGGTTCGCTGGACCCTCTCCTCCACGTCCTGGACCGTGTGGGGGTGACAGGAGCACAGCATCCCCAGCAGCTGCAGGATCAGCCCCTCGATGTACTCCAGAGCATCGTCTCGCGCCGTCAGGTGGGGGTGCACCTGCTGCTGCACCTGCAACAAACAAACAAACAAATTCAGGTGAGTTGATGTACTCCAGAGCATCGTCTCGCGCCGTCAGGTGGGGGTGCACCTGCTGCTGCACCTGCAACACACAAACAAACAAACAAATTCAGGTGAGTCGATGTACTCCAGAGCATCATCACGCGCCGTCAGGTGGGGGTGCACCTGCTCGTGCACCTGCAACAAACAAACAAACAAACAAACAAGCAAACAAACAAATTCAGGTGAGTCGATGTACTCCAGAGCATCGTCTCGCGCCGTCAGGTGGGGGTGCACCTGCTGCTGCACCTGCAACAAACAAACAAACAAACAAATTCAGGTGAGTCGATGTACTCCAGAGCATCGTCACGCGCTGTCAGGTAAGGGTGCACCTGCTGCTGCACCTGCAACAAACAAACAAACAAACAAACAAATTCAGGTGAGTCAAATCACAGTGTGAAAACAGAGTGGTACATTCGGTAAAAGTTGGTGATCTTAGTTGGTGATCTTAGCAGCAGAATTTGTATGTTTTTTATGATTGTCATGTATAGGTAAGACATTTATGCGGCGTGTAATTCCTCACATCTTTTCTAATACTGTATGATGAATGTGATTGTAAATGTCTGTTTCTATACCTGCATGTAATTGGTGTAGGACCCCTGCTGGAATATTAACCCTTTAATTAACGGGCTAAAGGGCATCCCAATAAACTGAAACTGAACTGTTTTTGAGAGGGAGAACAGCTTGATTCTCATTATGTCAGTCTGACTCACATCTCTTAGTTATCATGTTTATCCTTGCAGAAGGAAAACATTGTTTGCTCTGTTTATTCTTCTTCGTCCCCGAACAAATAAGGTCAATCACACTCACCAATGAAATAAGGTCAATGACCTGGACCAGATACTGGCCTTTTGGGCAGGTTTGATTGTACGCAAATAACTATTCTATTTAATAAGTTCCTTTTTTTTTAATGAATAAAACATCTGTTTTGCTGTACTGTGTAATGCAACAGTTGACGTCACTCTTCAGGGTTCAACCCACTCACTTTCCACAAATTCCAGGAAGTGGAACTCGCAGTCACCAAGTACAGTAGGGGCACTATCATTAGATAGCTTTAAACAGTGTTTAGAGTTAAATGTTCAAGGGTTAGATGTAACAAGCCGTTCAGTGTAATGTAACCAGCTGCCGCCGCGCTGCGTGCCTACGAAGCTGGTGTGTTACGCAAAGGGCGGTTATACCAGCTATACAGATACAGAAGCTGGTGTGTTACGCCGAAGGGCGGTTATACTGGCTATACAGATACAGAAGCTGGTGTGTTCTGCCGAAGGGCTGTTATACCGGCTATACAGATACAGAAGCTGGTGTGTTACGCCAAAGGGCAGTTATACCGGCTATACAGGCACAGAAGCTGGTGACATGCCGAAGGGTGGTTATACTGGCTATACAGATACAGATACAGAGAAAGGTCTTCTTTTTTTCTTTCCTTGCTTCCTTGTTCCACAAATCTGTGTGACCAACAAATATAACAGGGCTCTGTGGACCCACACTTGTGCCCATATAGGGTAACGGGGGGGGGGGGGGCAGGTTCATTACAAACAGTACAACATCACACATTCTAATTAGATGCACAAGGACAACACTAGTACTGACCCAGGGCTCAAAATTCTTTTTGGGAAAAGGTGCACTGGTGCACACAAATTTTGGGGTGCACCATATACATGTAAGATAAAATAGGTAGAATGTCAGCAAAAACTAATTATGTTTCATTGCTAAAGAAAAGTATTACAACAATTACTCTATTACCTTTCTGACACTTAGATGTTAAGAATATGCTGTACACTACTTAACATACGCTAACCTACGAAAAAAATTGGGTGCACAGCTCGCAAATTTGGGTGCAGTAACTTAGGTGCACATGCACCCAGTATTTTGAGCCCTGTGACCAGTCAGTGAGTCAAGAATATGTGTGCTGTGGTTTGTGTGATATCAACGAAGTAGTAGACAGTTGGGTGGTGTTGCATAATGGCAGAGCATTCGGCTCAGAACCCAGAGGTCCCAGGTTTGAGTCCTGCCAAGTCACCAACCTTGTGCCCTTGGGAAAGGCACTTTACACGACTTTCCTCACTTTGCTTAGGTTAACATGAGTATGCCAGAATGATCATTAAATCATAAAATCTCATATAGTGTTCTTTCTCATTTTATCTGATACCAATTATTATTGTTATTATTGTAGCATCATATTCATACACCACCCTACTTCTTTGTCATTAATTTATTACGTATTTGTTTGATCATTCTTATGCATTATTTCCATGTACATGATTTAATCTAAATTATCGATTACATTCTTCTTGTTAAATTTAGAGGGGGAGGGCCTCGTACAAGCACTCCATGCTTCTGCCCTCCTCCTGCACCTATTTTAACTTCATTCTTGTATTATTGTATTATGTTTTTGTTTTTGTTTCAATGTGCAAATAAATAAAATCAAAAAAATCATTATCATGATGGGCATTAAAGGAAAACCTAACCAAGTACACATTTTCTTTTTTGTAACATACAATAACTTGAACCTAGTTGTCTGACATTGTCATACAAAATGTAGACAAGCGCATGTTGGTACATCATATTGTCAGGTCATATGATATTGTAACAATTGTAGTTTGACACAGTGACCTTTTCACCCCAGACATGTCACATATTCATTAAAAACAAGTAGCCTAAATATTGAACTGTCAATATTTATATACTTCCATTATGAAGACTGCTCTGTGTGGTTTATTCAAACAAACCCATTGGAGAACCAACTTGGTGTAATTTTTTGTAAAAAAAAAAAGGAAATAGGAAAAGAATTTTTCAACTCAGTAGACCACAGTGAGACAATTGGTACCTGCTCATCTATGGTACCTTCTACTGTACTATGTGACTTAAGGATGGTAAAAGTATACTGTGACAGGAGGTTTAAAATATTCAACCTTCTTGGTGACAGTAACTAGAAAAGAGGTATAACCTTGCAATCTGTTCACGATCAGACTAGCATGGACCTAAACTAAACTAAGCGTTGGTTCTTTGAGATAGAAACTTTCCATCTCCATTGAACAAAAGTTTAACAGTTGCTGTCCGAAACCGAAGCATTCAGTTGGGACGTTCACCCCAACAGGTGTTGCGTCAGTGTCCGTCGTACATGCGTCATTTGGAAAGGCAGCCTCCGAACAACTCCCTTCATCAGAAAGTCTACCTTAGCAGCCGCAGCTCTTTGGTACACTTGAGTCAGTAAGGCCTAGGAAAAAAAATGTTGTGTTTCCTGTTTCAGTCCTGAAAAAGATTAGGGTCGGTAGGTAGGAATTATCTTTTTTCTTGAAAAGTCTTCCTTCTTTTTTTAGACTTTAGATCTCTAGTGATCCTACTTAAACGTCTTACAGTTTAACAAAGTAAAACTTGCATGAGGACACTTTTATTTTCAATGTCAATGTTAGAAAACCGATTGTACAGTGTTTCATCACGACAGGTGTCAGATCATGGACCTATAAAGGGTCGATCAGCTTGAAAAATGTATGTCCCTTGCAGGGGTCCACCAAAAAAAAGGCTAAGGTCGGCACTTTTTTTTTTTCGAGAAACAGGAAACGCAACTTTTTTTTCCTAGGCCTAAACTGTGAGGCTGCCGAGACCTGAGTATATGGTGGTTACACAGGCCATGTGGGGACGGTTGAGGAGGCTTCTGTTTCAAATGAAAGGCGGGGGTCGTCCCAGCCAACCTTTATCTGCAGCTAGTTTAGTGTGTTCAGATTGCCGCTGCTGGGACCAGATACGTCAGCCTTTCAACTGTGCAATCACACCCGTGGCCTCTGGCCTCTTTAGGTAACACAGAGCTCGAAACGCTGAGTGCATGTGCACCTGAATTTGGAGCTGTGCG